GGACCGGTACCGGTCCGCGGACCGGCGGTTGGGGACCCCTGGTCTACAGGGCTCAATGTGCAACGACATCCTGTCCTCGTGTTTCTGCATGTGGTGCACCTGGTGTCAAATGCACCGTGAAGTTCCGCAAGAAAAACCCCACCGTCATCAACATGCAGCCTGCGCCCCTCTCATCGGTTCTTGAACCCGACCAAATGCAAGCAAGATGTCACCTGCTTTTTTTCATGGCTAATGTGACTAAGTTGCAGCAAACAGCTACATAGATGAGCATTGTGGGTGCATAAACTGCTGAAGAAGGCTCAGGATCCGTATCTGGCTCTGTTGGCGTATAGAGCTACACCGATCGCAAACGGCTACAGTCCTGCACAACTCCTCATGGGCAGAAGACTGCGCACCCCAATGCCCCAGCATCCTTCTCTTCTCGACCCAGAGCTTCCGGACGGCACTGTCGTTGCAACAAAAGAAAGGGAGAAAAGAGGGAAAGACACTGCAAGTTTCAACAACAGACACCGTGTGAGAGATCTGAGTCAACTCACTCCAGGACAACCAGTGTGGATCACTGATGCAAAGTCTCAAGGCACAGTGGTTTCCTCCCACTCAGCCCCACGTTCATATGTCGTGGAGAGCCCTTCAGGCACCCTCAGGAGGAACAGACACCATCTTGTCCCTTTTCCAGAGACTGTTCGACACACACCTCACACACCGACACCCAGCACTGCACCACAACCAAGTGAGCCTACAGTGGGTTCTCCAGAACGCCCCATATCACGTCCAGCACCGGCTCCCGAGGGACCTGTGTATTAAAAAAATAATCAAAAGTTACCAGTTACTGAAGTAAATACAGGTGAGTAATCATTGTCACGCACTTGTTCTTACTAACGTAATAATTTGGAGTTGTGGTATTTCTTGACAATTACTCCAACGTCAGTTCTGAAGAGTCACTGACTCAATCGAACATGGCAAAAAACGTTATTGTCAAGCTGCCGGAGTTTTGGGAGATGTCCACGGCTGAGCCGGGTTTACACAGATAGAGGCTCAATTAACCCTGCACGGGATGACAGATGACGACACTTGTTACTCCTATGCTGTTTCACCACTAGAGAGTGCCACTGCTCAGAGTGTGATGAGCGATATTTTTAAGGTGAAAGAAACAGTTTTATCCATGTGGTTGATGTGGCTATGTGGCTTTCAAATGAGAGTGACTGGTCAAAGATGGCGTCAAGGTTACGGATATGGGTAGAAGCTGGAATGCTAGAGCCGTCAATCGAGAGTGAGAAATCAGGCCAGGATGTGTGAAGTGATTTCGGGCCGATGATGAAGATTTGTTGTTATCGAGTTTGAGGAAGTTGGTCTGCATCCATTTTTTTTTTATGTCTATAAGGATGGTAGACGAAGTGGGAGCAGTGACGGATGAATAGTGTTAGTTGCTGTGAGAACCAAAAGGTAGAAAAGCACTATACAACTTTACCATTTACTCCTGGACCATACTTTCTGAGAACCACTCATTGACACAACAAAATTCAGTTAAAAAAAAAAACATTTGAACAAAAAAATGTTGGGCACTTTCGCGAGGAAAATGAAGTTAACACAGTTTATGCCTTTGTGGGACACATAAAATGATGTGGCCGGGCAGATCTGGCTCCCTGGCCTTGAGTTTGACATCTATATTGTAAAGTAATGGTAACTACAGTACTCTTATCGGAGAGCAATTTATAGCTTCTTTACCCATCTCTGGTGGTTCATCTGTCAAGTGAAGGGCTGTATCTTTCTGTGAAGATCAAATAAGGTTTAATAATTAAACACGCAAGATTGTGTGGTTTGGATATGTCATCGAAATTACTTCACAAAGACAAAATTCGAACTAGTATTTGTCTTTTCTCCCTTGGCTTTATAGGGATGCACGAAGCAAGCAAGATCAGATTTAACTGTTGTTTTATGTCCACTAGGGGGCAGCCCATATTCAATTAAGACTGGACTGTAATGTCCTACTCATACGATGAAACTAGATCATATTTAAAATTTGTTTTATGTCAATGTTTTTATTTTTCAGATATGTTATTACATTGGCTTCGGTTGTTTTTTCCCCTTGTATAGGCTGTAAAGTAAAATGTGTTTCTGTATTTTGTGTTTCGTTTTTTTTTTTTTCAAATGTGTAAGGACTCCTGAGCATCCGGGGAAACGTGAAAGTCCAGAGCTGGCAATATAGCTCCAAATGGTTGAACTCTCTGAGGCAGACAACACAAAATATTATGCAAGTATAACTTCACCTATAACACACACTGTGATCCAAAATGTTTACCCTGGTAAAAATATGAATAAGGCAGATTAATAGTGCAATACATTAAATAGAATTAGATATTACACAGAAATTCTAATGAATCAAAAGAAAATTACATCCACATTACAAAGGAGGTTTAATCTTTTTTTTTGTGGTTTTGGAGTTGATCTTTTGACTTCCAATATGCATGCCAGTTGTACTGTATACACATGAAGTTCAACAACAAAATGGTAAAAACAAATAAAAATTAAAATAATACATCAATGAGCTGAAAGATCCAAAAATAGAAAATTGTTCCACATACCTAAACCTTGCAAAACTCACCATGTGCAGAGTGAGTGATTTTTTTATCATATTCGTTGTTTTTTAATCAGAGATTCATGTCAAAGAGAGACCAACCTGCTATAGATTATTTTGATACTGTCATAAATGGTATCAAATTTTTCCAAATATTACAACACATTCACCTTGATCCTTCTCAAAAACCTTTCTTAGCATACTCTCTTTAGTACAGTACTCGGCAGTTTTGGGGGAGTTTTTGTTGACAGATTTCAGAGCCCAGAAACCAATTAGAGAATACCTGATTCACAACCGTTGATATAAAACCAAAACCCCAGAGTTGTCAAAGTCTATTTGAAGACCATATGGATTTCACTGTTGCTCTGAATGAAATGCCATCATCTGCCTGACGAATAAACACACATCTACTTTCTCTGAGCAGCCACCAGTCAACGCTCATTTTGTGTTTGGAGAGAAGTGGGTCCTTTCACACAATGCGTCCCCACCTGCCAGTGCTGAGCGTTCCCCAGCCCGATGGTGGCGGATTCTGCCTTGGAGCTTTGGGCAGGCGCCGACCGGCTTTGGACACCGCAGAGTGAAGACGACAAGCCATTGACTCGGAGAGGCGGCCAATGACAGTTTTTCCTCCATTCTGAATGAATGGCGAAATCACAATCACACTACTTCATGAAATTGTAATTATGGTTCCACCCGCTTCAATGTTAATGTAAAAGACAAAATATGAGGACTGTATACATTGTATCTTTGTCTTGATGGCAGGCGACTGTCTCGTTGACTCATCAAAATCTTGATTCTTTTTTCCATAATCGCCCAGCCCGAGGATGGTATGATAAACAATTCCTTATCAGCCATCTTGTTGGCTTTCTGTGACGCCACTGACAATAAGAGTCAGAATCAAATGTTCTTCTCAAAAAACAGATTAATTTACACTTTGCATTCATATCAATTTCCTAAGTTATTTTTTTGAATATTGAGTTAATATAAATGAATTGTGGCAGAGTATGAAGGCATCCAAGGATCCATGTGGAAATATCAGGAAAGTCACAGGTATCCATATTTTCCTCAAATTGTGGGGTGGCCAGAAAGTTATAGTCGGGGTGGCTATGGGCAGTACGTTGCTACACCACTGCCTCAGTTTTCAGGTCTCACACGAAGTGAGGCAGTGATTTCCTATTTTTCAAACTCAGAGATCGACAGTACCGGTCTTGTATCGGGTTTATTTCATTCATGTTAGGATCTGGCTGTTGCTCATCGTGTTACGCGCGTGTGTTTGCACGTGTGAGTCGGATGACAAAAAAAAAAGTGTTGCGGTTAGTTACTGCAGGCTGGAAAAGGTGTGTGGTTTTGCGATGACGACGCTGAACTGGTCGAATACAGGAGGTTGGCGATTTGAAAAGTCGATCTTGGGTGAGAAAAAGTTCAGACACCTTTATTTTTACTTTCATTTCTCTGTACGCATTCAAGTTTGGCAGCATTTTTCAGCAAAGCAGTCCTACCTTACTCAAGGTGACGCTACTTGGATCACTTCATTCACTGCACCTGCACCAAGACAACATTAATCTTCGTCAGGTAACGATGGCGCAATTACATGTGTTTAAGAAAAAACTGTAAAAATAACTAAAAATACATGAGAGATAATTTGCTAATGTTTTTCAAGCTCCAATTTTAACATTGAGTTGCAGCCGTCATCAGAAATTTGGCACAGTTCATGCCAGCGATAGGTCGGTGTTTTTATTCTTTGGCTTTGACTCAGCATGAGACTCGGCACTGTTTTAATGTTATTAATCTACTGTTTCAACTGTCTGTTTTTGTCAATCTGGTGGTGACTTTATGTCCAGCACTTTGGATGCAGCTGAGGTTGTTTTTAAAGCGCTCAGTTGAGTTGAGTCATTGCCCTGTTCGGAAATGACCCTAAAACCAGAATGACGAATGAATGCATTTTATTTGAAAACCTGAATGTAATACAGCTCATGTTGCTTATTTTTAAGTAACCTGCATTCTATAAAGTGTATTACACGTCAGGTTGAAATAATTGTTTTACATTTTCAATGGACACTTTGTTTGAAGAGCTGCCTTTTTCAGTGGAAACAGAAACATAAATCCATCTTCGGATCGGCTTATCCTCATGAGGGTCACGCGCGTGTTGGAGCCTATCCCGGCTATCTTTGGACAGTAGCCGGGGGACACCCTGAACTGCATGCCACCTAATCGCCCAAATTCACACTCAGTTGAATGCACTCAATGACTCTTGAGGCATATTGTTGTCCTTCTCGTCTGTCAAGCTCTGAATTATTACTGTTTTTATTATTATTATTATAGGGTTTTTTTTTGTTTGTTTTGTTTTTTGCTGTAAGGCTTAAGTGTTGGTGCTCAAGTTCTTCAAACAGAGATGGCCTCCCAACCAGCTCTCACCGACTGGAATACTGACCTCTTTGACTGCTGTGAAAGCGCCAGTACTTGTAAGTCATATGGTAGCGAAAACAGCATCAGATCGCCAAGTCTCACCACGGGTTTCTCGATGATGACATCTTCGGTTTTGTTTTTGCTCAGGCTGCTACGGTTTCTGGTGCTGTCCTTGCTTGGCATGCACAGTCGCAGGAAGATATGGAGAGAACCGATGTCTTCCGTTGTGTGACATCATCAGCCCTGCCGTGTGTGTCATTTGTGAGATCCCTCTGTTTGTGCCGCCCGCAGCCTTGTCTCTGAGAGCAAACATGCGAAGCAAATACGGTATCAAGGTAAGGTGGCTGAAGCTGGAAGCCATTTGTGAAAAGTACAGATTCATTCCCAACTTTCAGATTCATTCTGTGCCTTTCTCCCAGGGCTCCCTCTGTAAGGACATTGCCACGAGCTGTTTCTGCGCGTGGTGCAGCTGGTGTCAGATGCACCGTGAGCTGAAATACCGAAGCAAAAATCCAACTGTCATTAACGTGTTCAACCAAACTGTTGTCTCGCAGCCTCCACCTGTCGTAATCATGAACCCAAACCAAGCGCCTCCTTATGTTCCTCACTACTAGGACATATCATATGCAGCTATGATGAGAGGTATCGACTTTGTTTTTATCTGCGGTCAGTCTGGACTTGATCAGTGTTTCTTTTCACTTGTTTAATGATCATCATGACCTTGATTACACCAATTGATACTATAACAATCCCTGTCAGAGATTCATTTTCATATTTGACAACACTTCCAACAAGGCGCATGCAGGAATAGTTGTTAGGGTTATATTGTCGATGTTTTAAATGATGTATTCTGTTCCATTATTGTTTTTTTTAATGTGAAAGGTTCTGTAAAAAGTACTTTGTAACGGCTGCAGGTGGTGTGAAAGCACGACATAAATAAAGATGCATTGTATTGTAAAAAATATTAACCACGCGTCACTAAATAACCCAATCTTAGATACGTATGTGACGGAATGAAGGTGACAAAATTGACGACCAAATCATTCAAGGACCACAGCAACTGCATAGCAACTGATCAAACTCAGAATCAGATTTATTGGCCAAGTCTGTAAAACACAAGGAATTTACCTTCCCAGTCACACCCCATCCAAAGAAACAGAAACAAAAACAATGACCAACAAAGGGAGACAGAAGGTGAAGACTGGCGGTTTGCTGTTTCGCGCCCGGAGAACTTAAATGTTAAAGCCAAACAAGAGGGCAGGGGAGGAAAACAAAGAAAGACAGACTAACTATTCTCCTCGAAAGGGAGCATGGCTTGAGCCTGAGGAAAAAAAAAACTCACCACATCAAGGAATAACCTGGAACAACATGTTTCTTAATTTAGTATAGTGTCAGTGTAACAATGACCAAGCCTACGCTAAAGGTTTCTTTCTTGCTAGCTTGATGTTGCCTTACTTCGCATTTGACTGATTTCGATGAGACCTTTGGCTTGGACTCAGCCCGCGAAGTGCTGTCTGTACAGAACCGTATGAGGCGGTCCCTAATGTTCCGTTCACATGTGATTCATATTATTTTTATTTAAATCTGAACTTATTAAAACAATGAATTATAACTATCGCGATAATATTTTTCAACAGCCAAGACAGTGGCCTGATTGCAGCCCAATGGAGTGCAGTGTCGGTTGGCGACTACTTGGCCGGAATCGACTTAAAGCAATTCTTTAAAAATGTAGCTGATTTCATTTACAATACTGTCGAATCACTGGAAAATGGGCTATCCCGAAAAAAATGCCACTATTTCGAAAGAGTGAATGTTCTATATCTGGAAAATTAAAAAAGAGTCGACTCCAGTCACACCCTGGTTGATTTCAAATCCCTTTCTAAAGCCTGCCATGCTATAAATACTTCTTGATCCAGCTGCATACAAGTTGACCGACATAAGTGGTTGACCCTGTCATCCTGCTTGTGGTTTTAGTTGTAAATACTTTGCTCAAGCGAAAACACGTTCAAGAGCTATTTGCAGCTCCCTCCTGGCTATCATAATGTAGATCCTCAGTCAGCTACATGGTGCTAGCGGACACCGGGGAGCACCCAAGGACCACATGAGCAGCCTGTGAGACTGTTCAAAAATTAAGTCGCCAGTGAAGGGACATTGTAATTTTCTAGGATCGTTGTAGATGTGAACCCAAAAATACATTTGGAAATGCACTTTCAGAAATGTGTTTCGAACTTATCAGTTTCCCACCAGGTTGAATCCTAATAATTATTGAGAAATTATTAACATGATCACAGCTACACATTGCGGAATATCATTATTAATAATATACAATTCGGGGAAATTTGAAAACATTTCAGGAGCGTGCATCAAAGTGTTCACCCTTTCAATCAGTTTTCATGAAGTGATTCTCAGTTTCAAAAAGGTTGTTGATCCCGGCTGTAAATATGCTTGCTTTTGAACCGATTTCCACAAGAGAGTCAATTTTCTTTCGACGAATTGTCTTTGGGCTTGTGTGAACATTTTCTACTAAACCGGAATTTCAGGTCTCCACTTTATAACATGGGATATTTTGAAAGAAAGGCGTCACACAGATTTTTTTTTTAAACTTTATTTTTACCTTAACCACCGGTACACACTTTTTTCTTCCCACAACAATGCCAAACAAAGATAGTTGCTCAGTGAGCGTCACACTGACTTTCTCAGTCGCTCGTCACACACAAGGCAAACTACCCGACGAACTTCACCATGCAGCAGTGTCGCCTTTGGAAACGAGTTTGTTGCGTGTTGGGGAGACGCAGGGACTTAAATCCAGGAGGGGATGTCGCTCCATGGCTGGACTTGCTATCCCTGTTGCCAGCGATAGTTAGTGTCTTGAGTTTTACTGGTTGGTGCTTTCTACCGTCTCGTCTCTGTTACTGAATTTATTGCTTTATTCTTGTCTATATGATAGTTGCTCCATGTACAGCACTTTGTATACAGCGATGGCTGTTTTAAAGTGCTCTATAAATACAGTTGAATTGAGTTGTGTCGGTCGCCAAACAAACAACAGAGAGACGGGGGTGGCACTTGTCCTCAATGCTCATTAGACTCAACTCAAGATGCTTATTTTCGCTCTACTATATTCTCTGTATTCGCTCCTACACAGTTTACGCAAATGGCTGATGAATATTCAGTAGGAGGGCGGACTCAGACAGTTTCATTGGTCCACTGTAATGTGTTGGGTAATATTATTGGTCAGATGTGATGAGACCGTGGATAAATCCACTGGCGATTTGAAGCCTGTCAGTAAAAATTCATAAATAAACCGTGTTGCATTAAAAGCCGCAGGGTTGCAAAAGTGGGGGAAAAGTGTCGCGGTTTATAATCCAGAAAATACGGTTATACAGTGATCCCTCGTTTATTGCGGGGGTTACGTTCCAAAAAGAACCAGTGATAAGTGAAATCCGTGAAGTAGGATTTAATTAAAAAAAATAATAAAGTGAGAGGGACAAAATTTCAAATGTGCTGGATGTGAAACATTACATTACCTCTGCGTCCCACGTCCTAGGCGCATAATTTTCCCGCGGGACGCACAGTTCCAAATAATGTGCGTTTTTGGGACGCAAGGAAATTTCTCAGTCAAAACAAAAAAAACTACGGCAGGCCTGAGGATTTCACGGTAACGATCGTTACCGGTGGCGTGTCGTTTCCGTGGCGTCATTTTGACGGTACCGAAAAATGGTTTCCCATAAAAGTCACCGCACATGAGTTGACTGTACGCGATCGAATATCTCCTGCGTGATGAATGCAATTTCACTGTGCCTGTATGTGTGTTTGTGGTGTGGTGTGTGTGTGAGTGTTTCTTCTAATATACTTTCGTTTTGTTTTGTTTTCAGTGTTGGCGGGGCGGAACAGATAACGTTATGTGCGCATGTGGGTTGCTATTTTAGTCCGCAAACTGAGGAATCGCGCAGATGACAGTTTGAGATGGCGGCGAAAAAAAACACACAAAGGCCGACTAATTGCGACATTTAAGAAATGGGAATGCCCATTTGATTTTTCGTATGAATCGTCCGAAGGGCATATCACTAAACTCACCTGTGTCGTATGCACAGAACACGAGAGCGAGATACGACGAGAGGCACGATTACGAGGCAAATTAGTCATTAAGATTTATAGGCTAATCGCTATGAAAAATAATATGAAACATTCTTGGTTATTCTATAATTTACTGTTTGTAGCATGGTAACTTTATGAATAAAACATTCGTCACAAGGTGTAGTAATGCTAATGTTAACTGTTGGTAGAACTAATGATGTCGTGTGTTAGATTCTTTCGTCAAATTCATAGTAGATTACACATGCATTGTGTTGGGAAGAGGATGTCAAGCCACATCAATACTTACCTGTATTAATGATTACCAGTAAATTAATCTTTGCAGTGTGAGACTGGAATAAATACTCTGATTTTGTGGTATGTTGTACAGTATTCAAGATGCCATATGAGTACAACATATTTTGATCCATTTATTTTGCTGAATAAACCTGGAGTACACAGCTGCTGATGTTCATTGTTAATCTTGTATGCCTGAATTATTTACATTTTTGCAGCATTTTTTTATAAGAAATAAACCTATTGTCAATGTATATTGATTGTTGTTTGTGATATCATATGCAATTGAATAAGTAGACCATTTCAGAATTCGAAATTTGGGACTCTCTAAATGCATAATGGGACTCATACTTTTCTGATCAGCGAGTCCCTAGGACTCGCTGGCGGTAAACTGTAAAATTATCACTGCCATTGAACGTTCATTATTTATACAGGCAACATCAATTATTAAAGTTGTACTTGGTACTTGATAGTCAGCTTTATTTTTTACAGTTATTATACAATACTGAACTATGTATACAATGCGATTGCTCTAAGACTGCAAGGGAAGCTCAGCTTCCCCTAAAATGTCAAAAAGTAAGTTTCAGTTTCAGTTTCAGAAAACTTTATTTATCCCCGTGGGGCAATGATGAAATATATGTGTGTACGTTCAATTGTGTGGACGTCATTGACTAAATATGCGCTACAACGCGCTCAACTTTTGTTCCGAATCAGCTTCTTATTACTGGTTACGACGCGAGTCTCTTCTCATTCATTCCCGCAGCTTCACTGTGCTTTAAACTGTGTGGACGCTGAGCGTCGACTGCGCGGACGCTGGGCGTCTACATAGTTCAGTGTAGGTTGTCCCAATGCATTGAAACGAGACGAGTCATTGGATAAATGCTGGTTTTGTCCCGCCCACCGGACGCTCAGCGTCTCTGGGAGTCTATGGACAGTGGGCGTTTATAGGCTGGCCAGGAAGCTCAGCTTTTCTGCATGATGATTGGATGATCTGTCTGAGGCTTCTCTTTTGATTGACAGCGAAATGAGCCAATCACCGATCTTATGGTGAAGGCAACCTTCTCATTTTTTTTGAAAAGGAACGGAGAGTAGAATTCACGTATAAATAAACGGACGCATTTTATGATTTAGGCCGAAATTGAGCTTCCCCTCCTTGACAGACCAGCATCCGCCGCTGATACAATGAAGCCAAATACCAAAACTTTGCAAAGGTAAATGTGGCAAGCTGTACAGAGATGAGGTGCGGAGACTGTTCACGTTGGTCAGTCCCTTAGCCATTCGCGATGCAGAACACAATTCACTGTTTAAAAAAAAAAAGCATTTAAAAAAACTGCACGAAAAAAATCCGTGAAACAGCGAAGCGCGGAAGGTGAACCGCATTAGAGCGAGGGATTACTGTATACAAAGTACATACTGAAGGGCAGCATTCTCACAATGCACGTATTTTCTTTCCTGTTAAAAACTGCTTCCAGAATGATGAGCCATTCACCAAAATGATGAAGCTGGGCGTACCAACCTTGACAAAAAACCTGCAAGACAGAGAGTGCATTGTCAAGAGCTTTAAGGAAGTCAAATTGAAACAGGCTGTCAGATGAATTATGGCAGGATGATATCCCCTTCGAGCTTGAATTCTTTAAAACATGCACGAATTAATAAAGACAATTAAGATGAGAGTATAGGCGCTCCCCGATTTACGAACATTCGTGTTACAAACAACGGTATATACGAACATTTTTGCGGGTACAGGTATGTCGAAAAATGTTCTCGGACAGAGATGCTGTAAGTTAGATTTTGTATTGCGCGGCTTTTTCCGAGTACTGTAGTACTTCTTTTCGCCGCTAATACCGACGTGAGGCGCTGTGAGAGGAGGAGGAGGAGGAGGAAACGCCTGTCCCCATGAAGAAGTTCGAGACGGAACTCTTGGCCGAGGGGTTTTCTCATATATAAAGCCATCGCACTCTTCGAGCAGCAAGACCCAAATATTGAACGTTGCACAAAGGTTACAAATCAAATGAATGATGCCATACAGTGCTACTACATCATTGATGATGAGAAAAAGAAGAAAACTGTGCAATCGTCGTTAGATCGCTTCTTTTGGCCAGTTTCTACTACACCCTCCAAGGAAGATACTCGTCAACCCTCATCTTCTTCTCCTGGACCCTCAACTTCTTCCTTCATTGATGTTACGGAGGAGGAAGTAACTCTTGAAGCCCATTCCAGCGGCAACGAAGACCCTCTCGGCCCCATGATATAAAATCCCCCTCTTCCTTCTCCTCCCCCTCCATCATCTCCTTAAGCCTTCGAGTACATCTTCCAAAAGTAAGTTAAACTTCATTTTATTATACTTATATAAACATTAAACATACTTCTATAAGCCTTAAACATACATTCCATACAAAATATAGCACTGAAGCAACTTACGAACGAATTCAGCTAACGAACGATCCTTCGGAACGTATCTCGTTCGTTAGCTGGGGAGCGTCTGTATATTCAACTTTTACAATACTTTTCATCTTGCACTAGCATTCCTGACATTTATGGTGCGGCTTATACTTAAGACAATTGATAATTATGAGCTGTAAATGGAACCAAAACCTGTACGCTGTGCTGAGTTGCAGTAATACTTTGAAACAATCAATAAAATACAAAAATAAATACTTGTAAACATATGTCACTCTTCTGGGGCACCAAGCATTTTTCTTTTTAATGTACTATATTTTTCCAGACTAGAATGCGCACTAAAAATCCGTTCAATTTCTCAAATTGACAGTCCGCTTTATAATCCGGTGACCCTTATGTATTAATCTGGTTGTGTTTACTGAACTTGAACCGATTTTATGTCGTACACAGCACTTAAACATCTGTCAAAATCTTTTAGTATGTCTTGTTGTCTGGTTAAGAGGGAAGAAATTTCATCTGTATTTGACAGTAAAGTTGTCCTTGACTTGAACCCAATGGGTTCAAGTGCAAAGAGAGGATGTCAGCTTTTCATTTCATCATCTATAATTAACATTCCTTCCGATTGACTTTGGTGTTTGCATTTAATCGGTAGCAGGTGCACGTTTTTGTCATACCGGAAATAGAACTACTTTCTGCTGTCGTGTCTAAGAATCACTGGAAATGTAGTCTGACAACCGGAAACTATTTATTTGTCGCATTTGAATAAATTTAGTTGACCAATAACAGACTGTTTGGCCTATATTTGGCATTCCATTTTATTTTACCTGAAGTCAATTTATGAAGAGTATTTAGGTATCGAGGCTCCATTAGTTTGTCCTGCAAATCATTGTATTCCATCTTTATTCATGTTTAACACAACGTTCCAACTTCATTGGAATTGGGTTTGTAAATAAAAACAGAACACAAGGATGATTCTTTTTTTTTTAAACCACGGTAACTGAGTGCATATCTTGCAACGAACTGGGCTGTGTGTTTTATTGTTATGTGTTGCCGTGGCATTTGGCAAATTGTCGTGTTCTGTTACCTCGAGTGTTTCCATTTAAAAGTTAACCTGTGTGTGGTAATGCTACCTTCCAGACAGTCGTGTCTGGAAGGTAGCATTACCACAATGTCAGAAATGGGATCAGGCATCGGCCACAACATGCCCTCTATTTTAGATAGTCCCACAAAAGACAGGTTTGCATCCTATTCAGGATTTTTGATGAAATGTGCCCTAACTTTCGGAGTCTGTTGCTAACATTGGCCATGACACTGTCCTTCCTATTTACATCCCACATGACCTGGATTACCACGATTGCACATGTGTGTCGGAGTAGCGGCAGAAGAGCCAGTTTTGAGAAAAACAAAGCCCAGAATAAATCAAATTAATAACAAAAAACAAAAACTAATTTGTCAACAATTAAAATTGTAATTGGACACCATTTTGATCGTCGATGTTGTCATGACTAGTCGACTCATCTTGGCATTCTGAACTACTTCCCCCACAAAACATGATGAGGATGGTGAAGGAAGTCTGGAAACAAAAGCAGTGCAGCTCAGCCTCTGGCTCCGGACATCCTTGGCTACTGATATGCCTTTGGCGCTATGTCAAACTCATTTGAAAATCACTGCAGATTCAAAGAAACCTCGAGTAGCGCCAACTTCCTTTTATAATTACCAAAGGTGTTGTTATAGCATTATTGACGCTGTTAAAACTGTGCCGGTTGCACTTGTCTGCACCTTTCATTTCCAAAGAAGACAAACTGTTCATGCTAGGCGTAGAAAAAAAAGTAGTGTGTTTCCGGTAACATGAAATTTCAGCATAGGGTCGGTAGGTCGGACAAAGTCCCCCCTCCCCCCCCCATCAAAAATGTAAACAAAATAACCATAAAACAAAACAAGGAGACATTGAACCCCCCGCTCGCCGCCTAAGGCGGCGAGAGAGTTGGGTACCCGGTGGCTGGGTGTTACAGCCATCTCGTTACCTCTGCGTCCCGCGTCCTTGACGCATAATTTTCCCACGGGACGCACAGTTCCAAATAATGTGCGTTTTTGGGACGTGAGGAAATTTCTCACTCAAAACAAACAAACAAAACAAAACAAAACAAAAACTATGGCAAGTCTGAGGATTTCACGGTAACAATAGTTACCAGTAGCGTGTCGTTTCCGTGGCGTCATTTTAACGGTACTGAAAAATAGTTTAACCATTAAAGTCACCGCACACGACTTGACTGTGTGATCAACGCGATTTCACTGTACCTCTATGTGTGTTTGTGGTGTGGTGGTGGTGTGTGAGTGTGTTTCTTCGAATTTACTTTCGTTTTTTTTGTTTTCAGTGTTGGGGGGGACGCAACAGATAACGTTATGTGCGCACGCGGGTTGCTATTTTAGCCCGCAAACTGAGGAATCGCGCGGATGAAAGTTTGAGACGGCGGCGAAAAAAACTCACAAAGGTCTACTAATTCCGACATTTAAGAAATGGGAATGCCAGTCTGATTTTACGTATGAATCGTCCAAAGGGCGTATCACTAAAGTCACCTGGGATGTATGCAGAGAACACGAGAGCGAGATACGACGACAGGCACGATTACGAGGCAAATTAGTCATTAGATTTATAGGCTAATCGCTATGAAAAATAATATGAAACACTCTTGGTTATTCTATAATTTACTGTTTGTAGCATGGTAACTTTATGAATAAAACATTCGTCACAAGGTGTAGTAATGCTAATGTTAACTGTTGGTTGAACTAATGATGACGTGTGTTAAATTTGAAGGTTGTTTGAAAAAAATGCCGACCATAACGTTTTTTTTTGAGGTAGAAATTCTCGGTTGGTCTGGTTACCGGAAACACACTACTTTTTTTTCTACGCCTTACTCTTTCCTAAAAAGAGGGAATCAGTGCCAAGACAAGTGCAATATTGACACTTCATTTCAGTACAGTATATTCATTTTTGTTCATGCAGTGTTCAAGTTCAACCATCCTCAGTTTCTTCCTCAGTCACTCTGAAAGGCACTTGAACATGAAAGGAATTGCAGTCCCTGGTTGACCGCTAAGGAAGACAAGTACACCTGTACTAGAAAAGTACAGCAATAAATTAAAAAAAAAAAATTTTTGAAATGATACCACGTTTTCACTAGCAGTACTTCTGTGTAGCTGAGGCTATGTGTGACTGCTTCAAGCTGTTCATTAGTTACTCCTTTAAAATTAGGATAGTATTTATATGTGGAAAAGCAGAGATGGCATTCCGTCCCAGGGTGGAGTGGTCTGTCCATTCGTCCAACCCATTTTGGGGACGAGGACGAGATGTTTTTTTTGTTTTTTGAAGAACGGACTAAGCAAGGACGTAAGTGGGGTTTCTTCCATCCCCATAGTCGTCCCTAACCGGCTCAAGGACCAACGGAGGTCCGTCTCACTGACAACTGACAGAAAAACACCCAGCCTGTCTAACGTGTAATGCGCCAATAAACTACTTCAGACCGAATGTGTAATATCACGACGTGCCGCTTGTCTTGTGCGTGTTCATCGTGTTTGTATGCGGGATGGAGTGGCTTCACTTTGCTTTAAACGTCAAAACAAAGTCACACATCGCCAGTCAGTCTGGTGACCGACAGTGGTGGTGTTCGTAGCTAAATCTTATCTTGGTAAAAAAACAGCTCAACATTTCAATCCACTCACAAGAAACTCCCAGCCGGTTAAGTAAGCTTGTTGTATGTGTATTTTGTTTTGTTTTACTAATGCACATGCGTGGGATGTAATATGTACATTTTCGGCGTCAACACAAGGCGGCCAAAAGTTAATTTCAACTGACTCGGGTGAAATAGTCTGAGGGCAAAAATTGCCTTTGAATGCTTCAAACGTGCTAGTGGCAACCCAACCGCATGTACTGCATTGGGAATGAGCCGGCGGGAACGCTTTGCACATATTCAGTCTGCACGGAGAGGAGAAGAAAAAGAAGTAGAAGAAGAAAGAGGAGGAGGAGGAGGACATAGAAAGAGAGACAGAGGAAAGCTCGTGTTCATGGATACATTTTTCAACAAGAGATACAGCGGGAGTCCATCTTCTGGTATGAGTACTACTAGTGGTGATAATGAGACACCCAGTAGCGCGAGCAGCTTCAGAACCAGCACCCCAGTAACGGATGCGGAGAGTGAAATGAACGCCAGCATTTTTGCTTGACTCTCAGTCTCTGCTGCTGGAAGAGTCTGCGGATTTGGAGGTGGAGGAGACTGACGCTGGGGAGCAGGGAAATGTGTGTGAAGTGGTGTGGTCCACACTGTTTCACATTAAATTGTGTGTTAAAACTTTTTTTTTTTTTTTTACTGCCAGTCTTAAAATAGTGGTGACTCCAATTGGGATTCGAGTGGGTGTGGAAAAGCTTATAGAGAATTCAAATATTTGCATTCGAATCAGAATGAAATCTTGTAACGCTGTTGCCGTGAACTGGCCCTTTAAATGAGAGTTTGGCTCCGTTCACTGTGTAAGCTTGTCAGACATACTATAGCTATGTGCGGGACAAGGGCACATCCGTACGATGGCAAGCGGTTCGTCAAACCCAGAAGTGGATGTCTGTAAAGCAAGCGGATGTGAAACGAAAATTATCCAGCTAATGAGCTTTACATAATTTTGCTGGATTCTAAAACCTCTGCCGTTAGCCTCTCTCCCACGGCGCCATGCACAGATGCTTCTTTTTCTTTTTTTGGGGTGGGAGGGGCGGACTGGTGTAATGTAAGAACGGAAGCGCTTTAAAAGGACGAGGACAGAGGACGATTATTTTATGAATAAGGAGGGAGAGACGATCACGTAAGGGTGCCCAGGCCAAGAAGGAAGAACGGACCAGAAAAATAGGGTAAAGTGCCCATCTCTGTGGAAAAGTATAAAAGCTGGACATGCGCATTCCACTGCTTTCACTGACATTTTTGTTGTGGTATAGTTTCAGTATTAGTATCTCTCGACATAGCCTACCTAATGCAGATATAGTATGGAGTCACTATTTGATCATCAAGTGATCAGTTGAGAACCACCACCTTCATGGTGAAAAATTGTGCAAGGAGGAAATGCAGTGGTTGACAAATAGTTAGCTACCGGGGTAATTGAAAAGACAACATTAACTGACCTCTCCTACCGCGTGAGGGAAACATGACACACGGTGTATTTCCAGCATCAGTAACATGAATTTATTTCCTGCTACAGGTCTTAGTGATGCACTCAAATGCAGCGGCTGACAAATAGTTCATGCTAGCGGTGAAGACGTCGTTAATTGACCTCGCCTACCGAATGAGGAAAGCCTGATGAACATTATAATTACAGCATCAGAAATATGAATTTATTTCCTGCTACAGGTCTTAGTCAAGCACGCATGTAAAAGACGTTTTAATTGGCATAGATTTATGGCCACACAGCCATTGAATTACAGCTAAGACCTTAAGAGAAGTGCAATTAGGTAGGGATGGGAATTGATAAGATTTTTCCGATTCCATTATTATTCTGTTTAACGATTCAAGTCTGTATTGGTTTTCATTTGTTCGCAGTTTTTGCACATTAGGCGACGTCAGATTCCTACGTGACGCGTTTAGACTGGCAAGGTGCGTCGCTGTACGGCAAGTGAGGAGGGATGTATTACACAGCGTTAGCAACTAAAGAGCCATTTGAACGGTTTTATACAAGATTCCATGGGAGCCACAAACTCTCTGGAAATCTGAATTGAATATAATTATTATTTTCCCTTTTCTTTTCAGTTCCTCCATGCATTTCATGATTTCCCCCTTAAGGCTGGGCTCTGGCGGACTAGTCTGTCTCGGCCGTTAGCCTCTCTCCCACAGCGTCATGGAAGGGAGGGCGGACTGGAGACGGAAGCGCTTGAAAAGGACAAGGAAAGCCGGGTACGGAGGACGGTTCTAATATGAATAAGGACGGAGGGACCCAGGTCGCGGACGGAGGACAGACCGGCAAAACAGGGTAGAGCGCTTATCTCTGATGTGGCGCACATTGAAGAGAAAACCTGTAGTTGGGTTCTCAAAATAACTCTCTGACACCAGTGACGAAACGTTTCTGACAGGCAGTATCTTGTGAAAGCTGTCCTTCCCTTCTCAACTATTTGGACAGAATTACCTTTTGTGTTGCAACACTTTTAAGAGTGAAGTTTCTGGGTCAACTTTGTAGAGCGCCTCCCTCTCCTCATCCTCAAAGAACAGCTACAGGACAGAGTGAGAAAGTGGTTACTGATCAAATAAAACACAGTTGAAGCGTCACTCTTTAAAGGCTCAGTAGATTATTTACAAGTATTAGAAAACAGCAATCGTCAAAGTCATAGCAAACGTGGAGTATACAATGAGTGCAATTCATGACAATGACACATGTGTTTGGAACAGCAATACAATCAGTCATTCTGTAACTTTACGAGATGGAAACGGCATTCAGTAAAACAAAATGTATTATGTAGTTATTTATTTTGGACATTACGTGTATGCTACAAGTTATTTGACAATAAAATCTTTTTGTAATGCTCATTTAAAGCCAAGGACATTTTTCAATGTTTTTAAGAATACTGGCATTCTATCCGAGGTATGTCTTTATGTATTTTAAATTTTCTTTCACGTGGTAGGGTAAAGAAATGTCTGAAAATGTCTGGCTCTGAATGAATTAAGAATTAGAGAACAAACCTGCAAATTTTGCAGGTGATATTTTCGGTCCACATCCCAAGGAGGGAGTTCTTCCCCAAACATGACAGCAAAGTGATCTAAAAAACTAATGCAAAAAAATAAATGTATTAGAGCACTGTCATTTTTTTTTTTTAAATACTGACTACTCTCAACATCGCGCCACAAGATCTACCTATTGTTCTCACAGAAAGCAGAGATGAAGTCACTCTGCTGATGCTCCGGATAGAGGAAGAGCACAGGCCAATGCAGGTTGTGCTGCTCATCCAGGAAGACCTGAGCTCCCGTGGCCTTGTGTGAGCTGAGACCATCCAGGCTCAACTCGGCTATTGCAGTCAAAGACTCTTTGTCATCATCCTCAGCATCTGAATCTGACTGACAAGGCTTCACAGACTGGAGAAGCTTGATTCCTCGCTCCTACAAGAAAAACATGATGCGACACACAAGATTGAGAGTAACCTTCATGCTCATCCCTGTTCAGGACAGATTTTTTTTTTTGGTCACTTAAGATTTCAAAATGTCTTTTTGTGACCTTTATCGCAGCCATAATAGCTTCTTTCTCATTATTTAACTTCTTTTCTTTGACCTTGGCCTTTCGAGCATCTCTTTCTGCTGACCTCTGTGATAAAGAACAAATCGAATCAAATCAATGCATGATGTAAATTGACACAAGTGAGAATAAGTGCGATGTAAAACTGATGGATGGCTGGACACTAATGTTCCTGGAGGAGTGACGCCACCTTGTGTTTGTCTGCTGCTGTTCTTAGGTCCCGTAACTTCTTGTCTGTAGGATGAGCTTTAAGGCCTTCTTCACACCACTGAATGGCTGTAGCAAAGTTACGCAATTCCATGCAACACTGAGCACCTGAACACACACACACACACACACACACACACACACACACACACACACACACAAAATCATATCCAATTATACATACAAATCACAATCTGGATAACCGCAATGTAGCTTGTAAAAAGTTTCAATTTGGTTCGATTAAATGAAACTGATAACCATGTTTAGAATGACATTGAATGTAATCTACTTCAATAATAATGTCACTGTTTGATACACAAAAGGCATTAGGGCTGGGGAAAAAAGTCAGCGGACCACATTTTTCGCCTCAAAATGATAATTAATACTGTTACAACCATAATTCATATGAACATTGAATGAAAGTTTACTTTTAAGTGAGAATAGTGTTAATATATTGTACATAAGGGGGTCACCAACTCCAAACCTCGAGGGCCTCTATCCTGCATGTTTTAGATGTGTTTCCCTCCACCAATATACCCGATTCAAATGGTCAGCTCATCAGCAAGCGCTGCAGAATCTTTATAACGACCCTAATCATTTTAATCGGGTGTGTTGGAGAGAAGAAACACCGAAAACATGCAGGGTAGGGGCCCGAGGACCAGAGTTGGTGACATTCGCTGTAAATCAACTTCGGCAAACTTAATTGTTATTTGTGCACGGAAGCAGCCCTACGAGGCATGTGATACAATTATGTCACCTTCCTAATTAGTGAACAACATACCTCTAATCAAGGCTTTAAGATGGCCTGGTGTGATCTTCTTTGCAGTTGTAGCATCATTCAGTGAAGATCGCAAGTTGCCTGCATGTCAACAGATGACATCCAAAATGGTCTTCCTAATCATGTACTCATTTAGAAAAAAATGGATTTCTTTGAGGTGTTTAAAGGAGAATGTTGTACCAAGATGAAAGTGCGCTGCTGCTCGATTGGTGAGAAGAACAGTATCCAGGTCTTGGTCACCACACTTATTTTTCAAAGCTGCTGTGTATGCCACAATGGCCTTTTGGTAGTTCTTCTCCTTGAAAAATGCATTGCCCTCATCCTTTAAACTTTGTGCTTTTTCTGGAGAATGAGACAAATAATCAGTATTGCTTAATTACTGTTGTACACATAAGACGCTACCGTATTACCACCCATATTAATAAAGGGATATCATTTGTGGTACACCGACCTGCTGGGGTCCTGTCTTCATCGTGGATGATAGCCTGGATATGAGCTAGCTCTGGATATTCATTGGGGTCTATCTCATCAGGTACCGTTTTCATGAACATGGGTATTTTATCAAACTCCTAAAAAAGACCAGAGCAAAGGGACGTACGGAACTTCAGTTTAATGATTATGTAAACTGATATTTTTTTCTTTACAAACGTCTAAACATGCAGCTGGTTGTTCATAGATCTTTAGAAATTACTGTGCATGTCACTCAGAGAATACAACGTGAGAGTCATCACAGAATGACAAATAATTCTTGTCAATTTCGGTCTTTCTCTCTCTCTCTCTCCTGTTAGATACACACACACATACAGACAGTAATTATTAACTATAGTTCGTTGCCATAAATACTTGGTGCAAACAGCAATGTTGATTGTTCATGTCTACAATCACCCGAAACGACGTTGTAGCAGTAAAACCAGATCAGCATAACACAAAAATCGCTGCCATGTTTACAAGCAAGCAATTGCTCTACATGCTCGCATATTTTGACCCATACAAACAGCAAGCTCTCCAAGCTAGCAACCATAAAATATGACCATGGTCTCCCTTGTCAGCAAAGCTGCACAATTAATGATTTTTTTTAGAGCCACACGAAGTTTTTACCTCTTCCCAATTTTCTTCGTTGAAGGCATTTTTGTATTTGTGGCGCTTGAACGCTTCCGCGAAAACGTCGTCATCGTCGCTGTCGTTTTGTGTAGCGGGAGAGGCCATGAATCGTCAAGGTTATTTGGGTGCGCCGTTTTCGCCAGGTCAAAACTTCTTCACCCTCAAATTAAGAGAAACGATAATCGACTGTTAGACTGCACGTGAAACGATGGCACGACTGGCTATATGGTCCGTGTGGAAACAGCCTTGAGCCATAAGTTCCGCCGCAAAGTAGATATCCGAACAAACACTGGGCAGACACACGATCAACTTCTCATTCACGCGTGATTGAAATAAACACGGTGGTAAGCCTTCTAATAAGGAAGCAAAAGGCCAATTGCGGTGAGACCTTACGCACGTATGTACGCACGCACACACACAAGCGCGAATAAAACAAAAATCAATTTTATTTTATGGAAGGGAATGGCAACACCTTTCGTTACAGTGGTTGGGTCCACTGGCATTCCAGCACATTCTGAATAATACTGTTCAAGATACATTATCATGGCTTGCAGACAGAAAGCATTAGTATACGATTTCCAGTGGTTCTCAGCCATTAAGTCCAGTACTGTACTACTGTCAGACCTTTGATTAACACTCCACAACGTCATATATCCTTGTTCACTTGATTCACATTCCACACCACTTTTATGCAGCTCATTCATTTAAAATTGAAGACATCTCAGACCTGATTTCAATCACACGATTTCCACTTTTCCCAAAAGACAAAATAAATCCTCCTTACTTAAAAACATTGTCTCATCAGTCTGCTGGCAGATCACCTCAAACCTGGGTGTGTCCTCCAGCGCCCCCTGTCCAACCACAACGACATATGGGTAGCCCAGTCGGCTGGCGTCCTTCAGCCTCTTGCCGATGGTCATCTGGGTGCGGTCATCAAAAACAATCTCACCTCTAAGATGCGGGACAGTCTGTCCTAATGTGTGAACGAAATCTTCAGCTAAACCTGTTGCCTCATCCGCCTTGCTGCCCTTCTTGGGGGGCAAAACACAAACCTGGTAAGGTGCGAGAAGACCTGGCCAGCGGATACTTTCATCTGTTGACATCACCTCGATGGCTGCAGCGAGAATACGTGTAACTCCGAGGCCGTAACAGCCCATTTCTGCAACACTTTGCTTGTTTTGAGCATTGCTGAATACGGCGTTAAACATGTCAGAATACTTTTTACCCAGGTAAAAGGTGTGGCCAACCTCGATGCCCTTGGACTCAGAAAGGGTACCAGTTTTGCATTGTGGGCAGTCAGTTCTGTCAGAGAGCATCGTCTCTACATTGGCAGAGAAGGAGCAGCTCCTGCAGACCAGAAGCCTGTCTTCACCAATGTCTGCTGGGAGCTGGAACTCGTGCGAGAGTTTTCCACCTATGTTCCCCGTGTCAGCCTGCACTTGCACGCAACGCAGGCCCAGTCGCGCGAAGATCCGAGTGTACGCATGGCACACAGATTCATAGGTCTCATAAGCGGCCTCCTCACTGACATCAAAAGAGTACATGTCCTTCATGTAGAACTCCCGTCCTCGAAGAAGACCAAACCTCGGCTTTGGCTCATCCCGGAATTTGCGGGTGATCTGTTGAAGACAAAAAGCACAAAATGGTGGTGCTTATTATGACTGACTTTGGATCTATCTAATCAAACACTCATTTCAATGCTATGCTTTGTTGACTTAGGGGCAGATTCTACTGTTGGCGCTGAGATCAATTTCTTACACGCACTTTTTAGGCACTCTCAAGATGCTGCAATTCTCCCTTTTAAGGTTCTGATACAGCCATAATGCATAACCTGGAAATATGTGCGCAAATATGTTCTATGCGGCCACACGAGACTAAACATTGTATTCGGATTAATATTGTGAATGTAGAACATGACTTAAGCAGCAAAATCCACCTGTTTTTGTCCATCTCAGGGGGCAGCTATTTGACGCTTGTTGTTGACTGAAATTAATGTCAGTTTCTCAGGGCTCAGGCAACGACCAATCACGGCTCACCCGTCTATGAATTTGTTCATGTGATGTTTGCAAGCTGACGCCAACACTGTTGCACTTTCTCCACTTTCCACATGTTAAAATATATCCGCACTCCTGACACGATCACTGTTTTTAGTCAGCCTCCCACAACAACTATCCAAACCCGATTCCAATCAGTTGACGAGATTAGGTCTGATTTCCGATCATGTGCTCGGGATCTGGACATCTCTAATCCCCCCGACCTCCAAAAAGCCAAACTAACCTGGTACAAGAGTAGAGGTAGCTGTTTGTAGGACAGAGCAGTCTGGTGAGCCACCAGATGGGTCACGGCCTCTTCATGTGTGGGTCCCAAACAGTAGTTGACACCATGGCGATCTTTCAGACGGAACAGCTCCTTTCCCATCAAGTCCCAACGCTGACTGATTTGCCACAGATCAGCGGAGCACAAACTGGGCATGTCCAGTTTCTGCCCACCTATCTGCTGCATTTCCTGGTCGATCACCCTCACCTGGTGGTTGGAGGAAATTGTAAAAAATGCCATCTCTTTTAGCTAACTTTTAGCATAAGTGAGCCTTCTAATCAACTATACAATTTGAACGTTGTATTTCCCTGGATTGAGGATGAGTACAGTATTAATAATTCTGGACATGAATTATTTTTTCAATGGTACAATTAATTGAAAAACAGCATTTATTTTCATCACAGACTCTTATCTGCACGACCGTGACCCTTGTGAGGATAAGTGGAATTAGAAGATGGATGGATGGATGTGGAAATACATCCATGTCCTTTTTTTTTGTTTTTCACAAATGCGCCTGTTACACACACAAGTTCAACATATTTATCAAAAAAAGCTTTTTTTTTTTTGGTTTATGCAAACTTCAAGTCAAATTCTGGAAATATTACATTAATCATTTGTTTTTACTTTTATTGCTGTAAGAGTGAGTGACTGTTTCACTCTTTGGGGGCATGAGTTGCATTTGACTTCATCCAGCCTCAAAACACATCTGTTTAGACAAGCTTATTCACTCTGACCATAAATCAATCCATTTTGTTTTATTTTATCTTATTTTATTTGATGTTGTTTTTAACATTATATTTGTGTTTTTAACTGCTTGTTGTAAGGTGTCCTTGAGTGATTAGAAAGGCGCCCACAAATAAAATGTATTATTATATTATTATTCACTGTACGACTCGAGGTCCCCAACGTTGTTTTAACTGGAGCACTCAAGTCCCAAATCTGCACATTTTAAAGAAAAGTTTCAAGGCTTCAATGAGCTTTACCCACCTATCTCGAAATACCAGAATGAAGTCAGATTAATATAGTGCAATATGGTTATAACACTGTTCACATAAGTACATCTCACCAGTTTCTCCATGGCGCGCACAGTGGCAGGAAGGTAATAGAAGCACCCTGGATTGAAAGGATGAATGAGTCCTGCCTGCTGCATGAGCCTCTGGCTCTTACAGGTGAGTTCTCCTTGCATTCGGCTGTCTGGGCCCATGTCACGCAGGTTTGACGGCTGATACAGACGAGAAACCAGGAGTGGGGGTTTCATTTGCCTGCTGTGAGAGGATGCAGGCTCAGCAACGGGTTCAGCAAAGCCCGAATGGCTCCTGCGGGAAAGTAGTCCTATTCTATGGAGGCTCGAGAAGACCTTGTGCCGAACCCGGTGCAGTACAGGCTCCATGCTCGATCTAGTTCACAAAATCACATGATTGATGAGATGTCATTGTAATGTTTGTGCGAGAATGATTTAATTACCAAACAGAAAACTAATGTATTTGCAAACTTAAATTCTGACATTCGGTAGTACATATTACTGGCGTGTATTAAAAATAGACAATAGCCAGGAAGACCGGGTGTAAAAGTGTCAAACGCGAATGACAGTCGGTAGGACCCACCGACAACAGAGATGCCTTTTACTTCCTGGCTCGTCCTGTAGCTCTGCTTGCTGACTTAGCAGCAGAGGTTAAATAGCTAGCCGTGGAAAAACCTCCGGAATCAACGTAGGACCGCCCCAAACGACAATAACCAAATGTACATTGGAGGCGCTAAAGCTGCAGTCTTTCCAATAAACGAGTCATCCGAAATAGGAGCGTGTCGACTTGTTCAATGAGCTTTGAAAACATGAAGCTCTCGGTACCATGCTGTCAGACGGCAACCCAGGCTTAGCCTTGTCGCACTATACTGCCGTCTATCGGCCTGGAAGAGTAAAGCAGATCGTGTACAGTATTGGCACTCCTTCTCCTCCGCCTCCTTCTCTTCGATTTCTTTTTTTTTCTCTCGCAAACAACTTAATGGTGCATTACCGTAACTTACTGTCATGGAGTGCGGATCATTCTTTAATAAAAGGAATAAGAAAAACAAAACAAAATATCCATCCATCCATCCATAATCCGAACTGTTTACCCGCACGAGGATTGCGTTTTTATTCTCAAACAGTCAAAATTATTCTTTCAACCCTTTTTAATTCCCCACATCTTGTTACCCGTATCATGCTTTTCCATCCTAAATTGTGTGCTGTTCAGCCCGTGTGCCCAAACATCAATCTTGATATTGGAGTATTCTTTCATCTATTCCATTTTCCCTTGGTTTCCTCATTTCACCAGTTTTCCTTTGTATTATGCAATACCATTTTCCTTTCATCTCTTCTGAGCATTGCTTCTGCCTCCTTTCTGTCATTTTCTGTTCTATTATACTTTTCATTATTCATTCATTCATTTTCCAATCCGCTTTATCCTCACAAGGGTTGCAGGGGGTGCTGGAGCCTATCCCAGCTGTCTTCGGGGAGTAGGTGGGGGACACCCTGAACAGGTTGCCAGTCAATCGCAGGGCACACACAGACGAACAACCATCCACGCTCACATTCACACCTAGGGACAATTACAGTGATCAGTCAGCCTGCCATGCATGTTTTTGGAATGTAGGAGGAAACAGGAGTACCCGGAGAAAATCCACGCAGGCCCGGGCAGAACATGCAAACTCCACACAGGGAGACCGGAGCTGGAATTGAACCCGTTACCTCTGCACTGTGAGGTCGACTCGCTAACCAGTGGAGCACTGGGCGGCCCTTATTGATTTACTAAGTTCAATATCTAACTTTCTTTCTTTCTTTCACGTTCAGGTGGGCCAGGTCATTCACAGATGATGTAAAAAAAGTGCTATATATATATATATATATATATATATATATATATATATATATATATATATATATATATATATATAGTATTATGTTTCAATGATGTTTAAAACATTCATGCTTTTGTCAATCCTTTGTTTCCACAAATGTAAATAATGGAGCTAAATGGTTTGGAAAGGACATAATTGAAATTCAACGTCGTTATGACTTAAAAGAGAATGAAAGGTGAAAGCCCCTGAGTGGCTTGAAATCCTTTAACGTGTCATTTAACCAGTAATGCGTGACCTCTGGATCACAGTTATTGCTTTTATGTGCAATGAAGTGTCCTGCCCACCACATAATGTACACATCTTTCTCTCAGTCTGTCGTAAACAACGGTACAAAACAATATTCAGACTCAAGATTTTCCCCATCATTGATTAATATTTGTTAACATTAGAACCTTTTCTGGCTTTATAGCATTTTATGTTGCTCGTTAAACCGTTATTTGTGTCAGACAGTGGGACCTGATTGTCAGCTCTTGTGGGTCCTTATCTTCCTGCTGTCTTTTAGCCCAACATTATGGATGATCCATATTCTAGTTCCAGACCTGAGATAAAACGCACACATACATTTACGGGCGTGTCGTGACTTGGTCGTCAGGACTTGTTCCAACTTTAGTTCCCAGAGAAACAGGCGACCAATTGTCTCGGTGAGATAAAAACAACCCTGGAGCACAGATTCAATCTGTTAAAAAAACGAATGAGTTTATTTGGTTTTATATTTTTATGTTTTCACTGCCATAAAAATGGTTCCATATTTGTCAAAGAGGCATCATAAAAATACAAACCAAAGTACAAATATCATTTGAAAAAAACAAACAAACCTAAATATACTGTATATCTGCTAATGGGTGTTCCATCAAATACAAAGAGTTAGCTTGAGCAGCAGGATGGAGTGGTACATAAAATCCTGGAAATATCCATCCAGCCATTATCTGTTCCGCTTATCCTCACGAGGGTTGCGGCCATGCTGGAGCCTCTCCCAGCTGTCTTGGGGCACGAGGCGGTTTACACCCTGAACTGGTTGACAGCCAGTCGTAGTCCTGGAAATACTATTAGTATTAATTTGACACCAGTTGCCTACTCAGGGTACGCATTGCCCCCCCCCCCCCCCCCCTCCCCCCCGAACGCCCCACCGAGGTAGGACATTCATGCAACCCAGTGCATTCTATTAATGAACTGTTAAATATTTTCAGTACTGTGATGTTTTGAAAGCAGTAAGTCGTCTACAAGACAATCTTTTAAAGTATGTGTTACATATCAAACTATAATGCCTAATAAGTGCTGTGATAAATGTTTTTGGAAATTATGTGGACTGTGTGGATGGCTGATACTACAAAAGATGAATAAATAACCGCACAGTGCAGTATTAAATAACTTAAGAAGAAATATGTTTCAAAAGAAGTACCGGTAGTCTGAATTAAGCATCAGTGCAAAACACTGCAATCATCAAGATCGTCACGTTCCTGGGAATCACCATCCATCCTGGCTTTTCCTTTTGCTTGACTTTTACTGACAGTCACCTCTTTCATTAAAAAAAAAAAAAAAATGCTCACGCATAGTTCACTTTTTGGGCCGGCTCTGTACGCAGAAGTCAGTCACAGCAGTTCTTTGGTTGTCCATCACAATCTGGTTTGGTGCTGCTACAAACAAGCACAAAACAGATTTCACCGAATAGTTGGAACTGCAGAAAGAAAAACAAAAACAATTGGTGCGCTCCTTGTAATGACATGCACTCTGCCCGAACTGACAAAAGGGCAAGCAAAATAAAAATCTCTGAGCCCTTCCACACCCTGAACATTCCCTTTTTCATCTCCTCTCTAGTACGCCCTTTGAATCATTGCACATCCTGCTTTTTTACATTTGCTGTCAGCTTTCTTACACTCTGCCGTCGTATCACAATTACAGTACTACATTTGTCTCTGTAGTATTGACACCTGGACATAATTTTGCATATCTCTTCAGTTATTGGTGTACCCATCATTTTAACCTTGTCACTTGGCATAACCATCCACAAGTTTTGCTGTTCGGGTTGTGGGTGAGCTAGGGCCTATCCCAGTTGACTTTGGGCGAGACCACCCTGGACTGGACTGGTCGTCACACTCACAATCACACCTATAGACAATTGACCCCTGATAGCATACCCATTGAAATGAATGGAGACCTCAACCCCTGATAGCCTACTCATTGACTTGGATGGGTACCATGCCCATCCCCTTTAATGGGAAAAGTCCCCGCTGTTTAAATGTGATTCTTGTTGACGTTTCCTGACTGTTGAAAGCCCATCAGGCCCTTTGCGGAGCCCCGGGTGTGTCTCGGGGAAGCTGTCCGCACAAGGTGGACCCTGCCTGGGCCACTTCTACTCACGGCAGCCCCTGGCTGTTCACTGTTTCTCCATTTAACTTTCTTCATTTAAAATGAAGAGAAAACTCAGGCAATGCTGCGTAAATATCTACCGATTAGATATTTACACGGCATTGCCGTTAAGATTCTAACCTCTCAATTGTGAGGCAGAAGAGTGAACCGCTGGGATACCAGAATGCCCCACTTCCAGGGGCAGAGCTGCATGGAGGCTCTCCCTCCATGGCCACTTGCCGAGCCACCCCGAAGGGAACATTTTGATACCTGTGACTTTCCTGACATTTGACGGATTGGTGTGTAGAGAGAGGCCTTTACACACTGAGTGAGTGCTGGGCTTCAGAGTGGTGTTAGGGCGTCAGAGTAAATTTCTGAACGCATCCTGCGTTGATGACAACAAACGAGTTGCAGTTGGGTGAAATTTTTTTTTTTTGTTTCAAAATGGCTTTGCTTAATTTAACTGTCCTGGTCAGGTATTGCACCATTCAGTGCTGTAAATCGTGATTCCTTGTTTTAGCGGAAGCCACATGCTAATGATGCCAGCAGAGTTACGTACCAGAATAGTTGATTTTTACTTAGACATACCTTGACTTGTGTGAAGTGTGTTGGGTAAGGGTCTCTATATGTGTGCATTTGATTTCTGACTTTGGATGGTATGATAAAAATAAAATCACTTCTCACGAATGTATACTCAGTGAAATGTGTCACCATGGCCGCCCAACTAAACGATTTCTGGCTACACTCCTGACCACTTTGCCTATTACTGCACACTTTTTTATTACTGTACGATTTTTTTTCCAAGCAAGCATGATTTGATAGCACGAACACCGTAAGTGGGTCTGCTGATCACAATCATGCTGAAATGTCATACTGACTATAACGCTGCATCATCAATAGCTCTGTAATGACTTGGATGATGGACTGTCAACATTGACTTTTGCCTCTCATATGGTTCAAAATGCTGTAAAGTTGAGGATATCCCGGCTTTCTAAGTGTGTAAACGCACCAAGCATCTGCCTGAGTGTGGGAGGGGGTTACTTTGAATCACCTAATTAGCTTTGCACCACAGTAAAGGTCAGTGCTATCTCTACGTAATCACCTGGAGCAGAAAGGGTTGCCCTCATTTAACGTGATTGCCATTTGGAGGTGATATTCCCTCAAAGAATGGCAAAAGTGGCCAGAAAGCGGAAACGGTGGGTGGTCATGTAAACATGTATGTGTGTGACTGGGATGGGCCAAGAAGCAGTCAGTGGGCGGCGCGCGGATACTCCACTTCCTGCAACAGAAAGATGGATGTGTATATAGTGAGGAGAGTAGAGTCGCATCCAGAAGAGAGGAGATCCACGCACAAAAAAGATCTCATTCAGAGCATCAGCGGTCGGTTTAAGAGACAAAAGCCAATTTAGGCATCCAGGATGCGTGCTCTTGTGGTCTTCCCTCTGCTGCTTTGTGCCATCGCCTGTGTGAGCCCAGCAAGAGCGGAGGTCAAAGCGGTGAAACTGTGCGGCCGAGAGTTCCTGAGAGCTGTCGTGTACACCTGCGGAGGATCCCGCTGGAGGAGGTTCCAAGCTGAGTCAGACATGGATGGTGAGACAATTGTATAGTTATCTGTTTGCCCTGTACTAAAATGTACAGCTTTTTTTCTACTTCTCCTTTGATAAATCTGTAATTAGTAATTTAGTCAATGCTACGTTCCTTTTCATTGTATGTTTTTGCTGACAGACTCATTTTCATTTGTATTTGCAGTATTTCACATTTGCCAAATTCAAGGCCAGATCTAACCTGCCACACGCATGTTTGTAGGCCAAGAAAAAGCAAATAAAGCTTGTTGATTCATGTTTCTTGTTAGTGACTTTTTTTTTTCATTTTGTCAGAAAAACTGGCTGAAAATAGCTAACTTTCTTCACTTTTTACAGATATTACAAGCACCAAATCTCTTAACATAAATTGAACGCTAACATTTTTGTCACCATTTTCCATGACTTTGTAAATCTCTCCCTCTCCGTTTGAATGGACACTGTCACAATGTTGCAGAAGTGCAGTGAATCCCCATGAAGAGCACTGAGAATATTTTGCCCTTCTCATTTGATTTAAGTGTAATAGTAAGTTAACCAAAAGATTACAATCAGCTCCCACTATAATGTCGTGCACTGCTACACCCTTTCAAATAGCAAAGCAAAACAAAACAAGGTTCAGCCAATGGGATATTGACTGCATCCTTGCCCCATATTCTACCAATCCAGAATTTTCCATGCACGTGTGGGCAGACCAGGACATAATGTTGACATCATTAAACCACAGGAGCACACATCAAGATTAGAAGCTCTCTCAGTCTGTTACACGTAAGCAAACTCAGTTAGTCTTATCAGCTGTAGTGATCGCTAAGAGGAAAGGGAAACTGCACAAGACAAATTGCATCGCGGAAATCTGCATTGTCATTAGAGTCCTTTTTAATTTAATGGGATCATCAACCTCAATTGAACAACAAGATGGAACCACTCCATCAGTGACATATATGCAATTTTTAAAAATATTTTATATATATATAATTTTTTTATTATTTATTTTTTTATTACTGTATATAGAAATGCCATCCACTATTCTATGTATCAAGTGTTTTTGTGATGTCAGACAGATTGTTTGTCCTTTATTGTGTGTTGCTGGTGCAGGTCTATCCACAGGGGAGGAGAACAGTTTGGACAGTTTGTCAAGCATCAGGAACCACCCAGGCTCAGACTTGACCAGACGGGATATGAACAACATCCTGACGACAGTGTGCTGCCAGGTTGGCTGCAGGAAGAGCGACCTCACCTTCCTCTGCTGAAGACGGCCATGCATGGCATCATCGTTTCTTCTCCAAGTGACCAAAAAGTAATCAGTCTTGCCTTAATTGAAATAAAATCCAAATGTAAATCACAATGCTCAGATATATATTTATATTTGTTTTCATTTTTATTTTAACTTGTATGTAAATGTAATAATGCTATTCTTATTGTCGTGTTTTGGTGAACATAATTGTGAACACCTGCAATGGAAAATTGGTGTAGTCACACCAAAATTTTACAGATAAAAAAATACTGATTGAACTTAGGGAAGGTGAAATGTACTGCCAAACCATAAGGATGAGAAATGTCTATTTCGCGGAGTCAAAAGCACTCATTGATATGCAGGTTTATAAACTGCCCAAGTTTATTTTTATTTAAATGGGGGGGGGGGGGACTGTGCTTTCATTTCACTGTTGTGTCAAATAAATGTTCTTGCATAAGAATTACATTCTTTGATAAGTTGAGCTGAATAAACATTTGTAAAAAAAACACATTTTAAAAAAATTTAGTAAACAGCAAACGTGATGAGATGCCATTCACGGAAAATTCTCGTCATCATTTGCACTGACAAATAAAGATTTGCTACGATGACCTTTGCCATGGACAGCACAGTGATCCGAACAGTCAGTACGTCCGCCTCACGGTACTGCGGTTCTGGATTCAAATCTGAGGTCTGGCTTTCCTCTATGGATTATGCATGTTGTTGCCCTTAAGTGTTGCATATTGTACTGGCACTAAAAAAGTGCCATGGTACCACCCCAGCATAAACAATTAGTATTGACGTGCTCTCCAATTCAGTGTCTATCAGTAAGAGGTGAATAATAAAATAACGAGACAAGAAATATCCCATTTGGATTCTGGTCAACCTGGATGGGGATTTTTCAATTGGTTAATTCTGAACAGAGCCATATCACATTTCCAAGAAAGTGTTACACACATGCTCAAGCATTTCTGTTCTTTTAACTAGATTTTTTTTCCCCCATTTGAGCTGTACTCTTGATAGGTCACTGGAATGGTGGAACGTTTTGAAATAATTTCTTGTTCTCATTTTTATTTCACAAAAAACTCAATTTTGAACAGGGTGTGTCGACTTTATATTCACTGTGATTGGACCTCTACCTTAAGCCTAAAGTCACTTGGGATGGCTCCAGGTCACCCGCGACTCTTATGAGGACAAGCAGTAAAGAAAATGGATGGATGGATGAACCTTTGCCTTTACTGGATCTTTCATTTATGGTTCTGACATTGAACAGTAATCCCTGAAAATTTAAAATTTGTCATAATTATAACAGCAACAGAATACTAATCCAGCATTTAAAGGAACATGTACTGATTTGACTCTAGACCTCAAATGCCTCAAGGGCAGGGGTGCCCAAACTTTTTGGACCGAAGATCGACTTTTCGATCAACCAACCTCTTGCGATCGACCCGTTACCGCGCACACACGTACACGCACGCGATGATCCAACAGCCTGACACGGAGGCATGTGTGGCACTTTGGCAACCTGTTAACTATCGTAGCTCAGATATACCGATACCGTTTTAAAGTGCTTCCCTCGGCCCTCGAGATTCCTATTTTTTGCCCGTGCCCTCTGTGAATTGTACACGAAACAAACTCTGAATGAGAATAATGATAACGATAAAAGATATAGCGCAACAGCTCTGATCACAAGCTGCAATTGCAGACTGCTAAGCGCTAACAACTTCGCGTGACGCAGGTCACTCGCCACCGTAGGTTAAAGATTTACCTGCTTTATTTTATTTCATTTTTGTAATACTTTTTGTAAAAATGAGACTGATAGGATGGTTAGGGTGCAGTGTACATTAACACAAAAAAATATATTACTAACATACACAAAGACACACAAATGGTTGTTTGTTTTTTTCCTCCTCTAAACCCCTCGTGATCGACTTGGGACCAGTCCGCGATCTACCGGTCGATCGCGATCGACGTAATGGGCACCCCTGCTCAAGGGTATATAAATCTGAGCTATCAAGAAGAGGGCAACCAATGCAAAGTGACATGCACGAATAAAGACTGCAACAATAAAATTATCATACACACACACACACACACAATTAAGAAAAACCCTAACCGTTTTGTGGGGTTAAAACTTTTATTGGTTTTGGAAGGAGGCAAACTAAGTTTCCATTTTAGCATTGAGCTTGCACATGGTTTGATGTTAAAGCATTCTTACTCGCAGCACAAAAAAACTGCTCTGGTCAACAGTAATACAGGTGAGTGAGTACACGGCACAAAACATCATTTAAGAATTAGTTGTAGGTAAAGGTGGCCCTGCTTTTTCTGCATGCTCTACAAGCAATTATGAATTAGTACAGGATACATTCACTTACAGATGCACTGAAAAAAATTGGAATATTGGATGAACTTCAAAATAATAATTAAAAAATAAAGTAATCTGTCACACCCAATATTTTAGCATTGACTGATGATTGATTTAGTGTAACATGAAATTTAAAACTTTTAATAAACTAATTTCTTAAGGCAAAGCCAGTTTGAACTCTTCCTTAAACTTTTTAGTTTTTAACTTGAAAGCCGTGGATTTGTACACACAACCTATGAAGAGGTGCTAACTCGTCAGCCACTTTGTACCCATTGCAGTAAATACATAAAGTTAAATTTTAATAAGAATGCTGTCAATACATTTGCACGAAATGAATTATTTCTAGTCAAATCATAACTATTAGGCGTGACGGATATCGTTTTTAAATTTTCAAGTTCATCCAATTTTTTTTTTTCCAGTGTGGAAACGAATGTTCCATTTTTTTCTAATAAAAAACTGAGGTGCATGAGAAATGACTGGCAACTTGAATGAACTTGAAACCAATGCATGATGGGACATTGAGCGCCATTGGAAATAACGCGGAGGAGACTTTCCTCTGATTGCCTCAAATATTCACCCAAAAACATCACAACTTTCTGTCAGCTATACGTAAGACAGGAAATGAACGGTATTTAGTTTGTTTGTTCCCACTGGCAATAAAAATCAAAAACCACAACAACAATATAGGGAACATTGATGTCAGGACAATTGCTTTGTTGCTCTAAACCCAGTTTATGATGGTTCTACGACATCTTACAATACCACATTTGGGTGTTTTTAGCACAATATTGACATACAGGACAGTAAGTATCGTGGGCTTCGGCAACACCTTACATACATACACACTTCATGTTCAAAAGGCCTGTCAAAGAGCACTCGGGAAGATAGACATTATCGGCATAGTGCCCCCCCCACCCCAATAAACAATAAAATATTTGTCTCTTTTTAATTAGCATTAAAAATATTCCCCTTCTTCTCATTCACAGATGCTTGAAGGACAGAGTACACACGCACACACGCACGCACGCACACACACGCACACATATATATTTATATATATATATGTACAAAGCATTTTGGTCAACTTCACCTCCATCTACAACCTCACGCACACACACGCACACATATATATTTATATATATGTACAAAGCATTTTGGTCAACTTCCCCTCCATCTACAACCTTATCATGTCATCTCACAGAGACCATTACAATAATGTAAAATAAAGCTATGGATCCAAGCAGGGCATGAGGACCAGGCTGGTGCCTGAAACGCAATTGGGGAAGCCACATTTGAAGAGAGAAGTAAAGTAGCAAAGCACAGCAAAAGCTGTAGCGTGAACAAGGGTCAAGCAACAGGAAAAGTGAGAATGCAGATGAATGAAATTACCCCAGTAAGTCGTCTACCTCAGCCTGAATTGAACCAGTGTCATCATAACAATATCAAATTGGAGTTGATTACTGATGGGCCAGCTGGTACGGACTTAACGGATGCCAAGCATCCATCATCCTCATCTAACCTTCAGTATGAACATGAAGTTGCATTTCGATGTGACCCTATCACATGATCATTTTAAGTCTACGTTAACGCTGATTTCACAAAGCAAAAAAACAGCATCCTGGATGATATTTAAGCGTTTTAAGTTACTTGGCCCCACCCACCCATATATACATATACATATATACTGTAGCTCAAAACTTCTGTTGCACTTGAATTAAAAAATTAGGTCTGAAACAAATTAAAAAATTATACGTTATACTGTACACGTTACTCAACTACACAGATAACAAAAAGAAATATTGAAATATTTATACCTTTCAGCGGACTGAATTAGGTGATACCGTTCAAAATCTAATCATATACAGAATCACATTTTCTACAACAAATCGTGTTAAGAATGGAAAAAAAAAGATGCTGTCATGTAATCTAGAGTGAACATTGCTGTCCTGGGAACAACAGAAGACTAAATGACCATACAAGGAAAACATCAAACGCCCTTTAAGATAGATTTTCAATGACACTTTTAACACTTAATTCGGAAGGGGAAACACTTTTCTCTTTTTTTTTTTAAATGTCATGACCAGCAGATTAGTTTCTCATTGCAGCTGCCGACCAGCCGCAACATCTCTACGATCGCAAAGAAAGAGAAGAGCAGTTGGACCCACTGCTCAGTGCATTTTGAATACATCGATGCGGTCCAGATTACTCGGACTCTGTTTGAACCAGTGGATGAGTCATTGATATCGGTGGTGCTCTGATTGATCGGCTGATTTCTGTGGATGACTGGGTGATTGGCATGTCAATCAAGAACTTTCAATGCCGATCACAAAAAAACCCTAAAAACGACCACCCACAGCTCGGACTTTGCAGTCTGCAGCCAAGTACAGACCAGCCTGTGTGCAGTGTAGCATTTTCTCCCCCCTTCTTAACACGGCACGATACAGACTAAACCAGGAACTGAATTTGTTTGAATAATGACCTGCTTTTGTATAATAAAGGGATGCAAACTTGGATATAATGTTATTTATTTAAAAAGAATTCATCAATTAATCGAAAAAATAACAAAGATAAATCAAATATTAAAATAATCGCGAGTGAAGTGCTCTAAAATGAGCATCGGAATCAGCGCATCACTCTCATTGTCGATCAGCATGATAAATTCCTCATCAAAAATTGACAATATCCATTTAGCTTAAGCTTGTACATGGTTTGTGTGGACAAATGTCCCACATTGGAAAGTATTTTGTCGTACCAATAAATTATCACATTGTTCTGTGTAAATAAATGACTGAACATCGTCCTTGAGGTGAGTTAGGACCATTCAGATTTTTTGGATAAGACTCCAGTTAAGAATTTTTACTGTAATGTCATCCAGAGTAGAGCTTGGCTGGTCAGGCAGCTGCAGTGAAAAGTCACCGCACTTTGACCAGAGGCACAGACACCTCAAAGAAGGAAAGAGTCCAGGTGCGTAACACCAGCAGTAAATAAATAACACCATTATTACAAATGCCATTATCAAATTACCAAATTCCATGTTGCTAGACGAACATTTCACAATACTGCTGGGTAGGCTGTTGTCCTGGGCGGGTGATTGAAGAACGTGGGTCTGTCCTCTGTGTCATCCTCCATCCGCTGGAGTTAATATGTTCATCAGTGCAAATTTTGAGTTAGTTGTCCGCCAGATACTTTCCTAAAGGACAAAATGCTTTGGTTAACTCTGTGTATTAAAAAACAAAAAACAAAAAAACCTACACCTTGATCTTTTACCTTTCCCAATACACATGTTGCAATATTCTTTCTATACTGCAAGCCAAAAAAAAAGTCCCTCATTACTGGACCTGCTCTTGAGCAAGGGTGCAATGCCCCCAAATGGTTTTTGCTGCCCCATCACTATTATTCCCCAAGCAGTGGGAAGTGGTCATCTGTGCGGTGAAGGGTGCCACTGAATGAAAATCAAAATTTCTTTCAGGGATTTTATCAGACCTTTGGGTGTTTGATCATGGACAGAGCAGTTTTAACAAAATCGTAAAGGCTCCACTTATACAAAAGGTTCTTTACACTTGACTCTTCTCAAACAATATCAATATAATATAATTCACTGCAGTTTGGGATCAAATACGAGCCACGTAACCTTCTTTCATAATTGAAACCAAGCAGCATGTACACAACAAGAACAATCATGACCATCGACTGATTAATAGGGGGAAAAAAATTTGACAATATCAAACCCACCAGCAGCGAACCTCTTCTTGACGAGTGAGAAGCGATACCCAGGCCCAGCCAGTTCAATATCACAACCTGACAATGTGCTGCCCTCACTGGTGAACTGCACAGCTAGTGGAGCTGGTTTACTTGGGCCTTCTGTTAGCTGGAAGCGGGCTAACAAAGATCCCACACCTACAGAAAAAAAAAAAAAAAACGCAGAACAACAGCTGGTGGTCACACACGATGGAAAATTGAAAATGCGGAGGTGACTTCAGATTTTTCACGATGAGCTGACTGCATCTCAGGCCATTTGGAAATAATCAGCACACGCAAGCAAAATTGTAACTGACAAAATAGGAAAGCGTAAAAATGACAGAAGGAAATACTGTGCTTCAACCCAGTATGTCTTTGGCACCCTGATGTATTTCAGCGGGCCAGTTGAGGACCTCTGTGTGTTTTTCTTTTAGCAGCACCCGGCACATACTAAAAATAACATTTGACACAACCAAAGTCATTACTTAAAAAAGGATGCAAAAAAAAAGAAAGTGACGCTTATGACAAACTACTACAACTACCACTACTACACTACTACAAATAATACATTGGATTTAGATAGACCTCTTCTTGATATTTAAACATGCATAACTGAACAATTATTTACAACAAAAAATTGAAAGATTCTCTTTATAATGCCTTAATGAGTCAAACTAATTTGGTTACAGAAGAAAGAGAGGCGGGCATCGTCAGGCTGGTGCATCCGTCAGTCAACTTCAATCAGTCTTTCAGTTCCAGCCTAGTCCGCCCGAGTTGTCAACGAGAACCAAATGGCCTTGAGAATTGACTGATTGGTACAATGTCACACGCAGGTGCCGCACACCTGACACACAGCCAAATACTGGGGAGAAAAAAAAAAGGGTCGAATCCCTTTCAGTCCCACACACCTCAATGAAAGATGTCCCAGATTGTTTTTATTTCACCGATCACCAGGCTGTGCGTGTGTGTGTGTGTGTGTGTGTGTGTGTCTGTGCGGTGAAGGGTGCCACTGAATGAAAATCAAAATTTCTTTCAGGGATTTTATCAGACCTTTGGGTGTTTGATCATGGACAGAGCAGTTTTAACAAAATCGTAAAGGCTCCACTTATACAAAAGGTTCTTTACACTTGACTCTTCTCAAACAATATCAATATAATATAATTCACTGCAGTTTGGGATCAAATACGAGCCACGTAACCTTCTTTCATAATTGAAACCAAGCAGCATGTACACAACAAGAACAATCATGACCATCGACTGATTAATAGGGGGAAAAAAATTTGACAATATCAAACCCACCAGCAGCGAACCTCTTCTTGACGAGTGAGAAGCGATACCCAGGCCCAGCCAGTTCAATATCACAACCTGACAATGTGCTGCCCTCACTGGTGAACTGCACAGCTAGTGGAGCTGGTTTACTTGGGCCTTCTGTTAGCTGGAAGCGGGCTAACAAAGATCCCACACCTACAGAAAAAAAAAAAAAAAACGCAGAACAACAGCTGGTGGTCACACACGATGGAAAATTGAAAATGCGGAGGTGACTTCAGATTTTTCACGATGAGCTGACTGCATCTCAGGCCATTTGGAAATAATCAGCACACGCAAGCAAAATTGTAACTGACAAAATAGGAAAGCGTAAAAATGACAGAAGGAAATACTGTGCTTCAACCCAGTATGTCTTTGGCACCCTGATGTATTTCAGCGGGCCAGTTGAGGACCTCTGTGTGTTTTTCTTTTAGCAGCACCCGGCACATACTAAAAATAACATTTGACACAACCAAAGTCATTACTTAAAAAAGGATGCAAAAAAAAAGAAAGTGACGCTTATGACAAACTACTACAACTACCACTACTACACTACTACAAATAATACATTGGATTTAGATAGACCTCTTCTTGATATTTAAACATGCATAACTGAACAATTATTTACAACAAAAAATTGAAAGATTCTCTTTATAATGCCTTAATGAGTCAAACTAATTTGGTTACAGAAGAAAGAGAGGCGGGCATCGTCAGGCTGGTGCATCCGTCAGTCAACTTCAATCAGTCTTTCAGTTCCAGCCTAGTCCGCCCGAGTTGTCAACGAGAACCAAATGGCCTTGAGAATTGACTGATTGGTACAATGTCACACGCAGGTGCCGCACACCTGACACACAGCCAAATACTGGGGAGAAAAAAAAAAGGGTCGAATCCCTTTCAGTCCCACACACCTCAATGAAAGATGTCCCAGATTGTTTTTATTTCACCGATCACCAGGCTGTGCGTGTGTGTGTGTGTGTGTGTGTGTGTGTGTGTGTGTGTGTGTGTCTGTTGTTTTAATTCTTTTCTTTTTTTTCCTTGAAGACTGGCGTGTCGGCTTGTGCGGCACCTGCGTGAGACATGGAAAGTATGTTGTATGCCGACTGGCTGTCAATGACGAGGGAGGGACTGGGCCCACGTAAAAGAATGCCCACCTGCGTAACAAAGTGTTAGTTGCCTCACTTCCTGCTCGGTGTCTTTAAGAAACAATGAATCAAGTGAACATTCCTTTAAAGAGTGCCGAATGACTGCGGGTTACTTCTGTTTTGCGTATGACTGTGGAGATGTGGTAATGGCACAGGTTTGTCTTAGCAACTGGCATGGTCTCTTTTTTTTTTTTTTTTTTGGATTACAGGGCCGAAGAGGACCCCAAAACAAATGAGTTGCCTTATGCAACAGAGCCTACAAAAGAAGCAAAAGAAGGAAGGACAATATCTGAGGTCCTATCGTGTTTTTTTGCTCGCATCTTCAGTGTTTGCAGGTTATGTGGACAGCAAATGTTTTTTTCTGTGTTTTTATATAGCACAATACTGTTGAGTGCGATTTGTCATCTTAAAAACATTCTTTTTTGGGATTTTATAAGGGGGCTGGAAGCTATTCATTGCTTTCCCCTTCATTTCAAAAGGGAAAGATGATTTGAAATGAGTGTTCTGAGATACAAGCGTGGTCAAGGAATGAATTAAGTTCATATCTCAAGGCACGACTGTTTATATAAAAACAATTTCCTACATACATCTTGACTCACATCGACGGGTAGGTGTTCGCATGTTTAATAAGGGGGAAGAATATCAAAGTGGCCCTTGCAGCCTTGGCTTTTCTGCATACGGTCTTTGGTGAAAAATGTTGAGGCATCCGTGGTGTATTGTGTTTGTGTAGCTGATTACGAGATGACTTTTTGTATTATATCAATGTATGTTTTAGCTTCAGGAGACACCAACGTATGAATTGCATCATCGGCTAGCACATTGCTTTTAATAAAGAGTGTTTCAAAAGAAGCAGATTCATGTCAATCAATATATCAAAACTTCGGACATCGATCAAGAATACATGAACAGACAGACCTCCGTTTTCAGATTTTTGTGAGATATCTGGAATCTTCCAGAGGATCCTGTGCTGCTCCGCGTTCCTGTTAGGACAACGTGGTATTAGTCCAGTCGATCAGAGCCAGAGGATTTTTTTGCATGTTCATGGTCTATCAGTCTGTTTGTTTATTTGTTTGGTGCCGCACTGGGTTCAAGGCAGTAACAAATAAAGCAATAATGTATTTACCATGCAGCTGGAGGTAACACAGCTTGTAGTTTGGAAACCCCTCCGTCCACTGGGACTAGAAACTGCACATTGTTAAGCGCCATTGGTGTTGACATAGCCTCGCCGTTATATTTGTAGTCTATCCTCAGGTCTGTGCTGGTGGGTTCACATCGCCAGCTCACGGCCAGATTCATGGGAGCGGACACAGGACCCTGCACTGATACCTGGAAAAGGTACATGAAATGTATACTGGCTCACATTTTTGCTTTTTTTTACTCACAACAAACATTTAACAAACATTGCTTTTCCTGTTGGTTTCGTGTTTGCTGAATTTTGCCAACTCACCTGATACTTCAGCATGTCCACATTATAGTAAGTTGCCTGCGGCTTCTGCTCAGACACTTTCTTTAGATGAGATATCAGGTTTGGCATGTTCACCCAGAAGTCCTTGGCATCAGCCTTGGCTTGCGTGGCGGTGTCGCTAGGGAAGAGGCACACAGGAAAACAAAACACAACCAACTTCTCAAACTTATTTCGGAAACAAACATACTTTGGCTTTGGGCTGAGTTGAACAAACAAGTCAGCAGTGGAGTTACATGCAGAAAATAATCAAGCAACCTATTAGGCTTCACACAATAATATGCAATTCCTGAAAAAGAGAAAACATTTTATGCTGTTACAGTGTGTTACAGGGTGAAAAGAAATAATGTATGCGACATATTTTGAAGTGCACTATGCCTTTGGGGGGGAAAAAAGACTCAAAAATCAATCGCTGGCAGTGTTAAAATAACAAGCATAACAGAGACGTCCTGATTATCAAAGGCAAAATGTGCGATCCATGCTTTTTAATCTACATGCTCAATAAGAAAAGGTATTGGATAAAAAATTGCAAGGTATAACCATAAAAATGAATTAGGTTAATCCTTAGGTTTACGGAGACTCCAACGACATGTCAGGGGATTAATCTTGACTCTGCATTCGGGGAAGAACTTGAATTCGGGAGTGTACAACAGTGTCATTACCAGCAGAGCAGCTGGGGGTTAGGCAGCACATGCTCCAGTCGATTGTAGTTGGTTATGCTGAAGGTTAGCACAGCGGGGGACGGGTTATTGGCAAAGTGCCGTGTGATTCCCGCTGGAAACGACAAAACCATCTCACCTATGATCTTCACCACACATCTGAGGGAGAGAGGAGAGAGGGTTGAATGAAAAACTGCACCCGGACAAAGAATAGAATATAAGGGAATGTCTCATGCACCGCAATAACTAGGTTTGGGAATCCCTGGCACGAGGCTGAGTCGACGCATACAGGTACTGTATATAGTTTCATGGATTGTGATTCACTTAAAAAAAAAAATTAAAAAAAAAAAATATTTTCTGATTTCAACACTTCTTAGTGTGAATTAAAAAAGTATATTTATTAGAAGGTTTTATTATTTTGTAATGCAAAGTATTTATTTGTGTCAGTGCTGAAGACTAGGTCAGTGTCAGCCTAAAGGCAAGTATATTAACGTTGGAAATAAAATAACCTTCATGTCTGACGGAGTCTGATTTTGATTTGATTCTATGTGTTCCTCAACTCTGCTGACAAAATATGCGGCTTTCCTGTGCTTTTCATCAGTTTTAATCAAAGGCTTATTCGAGCATTCCTTGGTGATAAATGTCCCCGCAGGTCAAACAAGAACGTGACACCTGTTGACAGCAGACAGTTGTGTTTGCAGCACGGTATGCATTCGGCGTCTTGATTGACACCGAGGTGCAACTTGCTCTCACTTGTTTGCTATTCATCAGCAGCCTTTCTGATTGACAGGGGGGCTCGGAGAGTTCACGTGATTATCAACTCTCACCTATTCTGCTTCAGTGCAGGGCGAAAGAAATGGCCCAAATCCCATTAGAGGGAGAAAAGGGAGTCTTGTCCTTGTGTTTGGTCTTTATCTCGCCAACCACAGGCCCCTCTGCAACCATTGTCGTTTCCCTGAATAAAGACCAGGCTTATGCAAAATTACCATTATGCTGTTGTATCATCTCAAAATACGAGTCATCATTTTAAAGTGGGCAATATTTCAATAATTCATAAAAAGATTGGCGAAATCAGAGTTGTAGTAGCTTATCAAAAGTACGAGTTTCTTACTTTGGTCCCATTGCATCCTGGGATACCAGAAGCGCCAGGTGGACCATCGTTTCCATTGATTCCCTGTAAAAACAAGCGCAACATCAGCGGTCTTTTCCAATTAAAATAAAACAAAACTAAACTAAAAAAAGGGAATAACAATCTGGTACTTACAGGTAATCCTGGATTTCCTGGGAAACCTGGAAGACCAGGAGGACCCTACAAGTCGACAATCACATCAATATCATTTCTCATTGACATTTTCCTCTATGTAACAATATGGCGAATTTTTTCCCAAGACACTTACCCGGACTCCTTTAATTCCAGGAGCGCCAAACTGTCCTGGATCTCCCTGAATAACAAATAATACATAGAAACAATAAATTCAAAATAATGACACTATCACCATCATTGTGTGATAAAGGCAATTTGACACGTGTTTTTCAGTGGAAATATGTGAGTGTATAAACTGACCTTGGGCCCAATTGGCCCAGGTGGCCCCTCGTGTCCCTGCATTCCTGGGAATCCCATGTTACCTTGAAGACCAGGGAGGCCACGCTCACCCTGAAAGGTTATAATTGTGCACAATTCAATCAATCAATCGATATGTACAGAATATAGCACTTTTCAACATAATGATGCTGTCAAAAATGATTCACTTAAAAAAAAAAATTAAAAAAAAAAAATATATATATATATATATATATATATATATTTTAAGGCTGTATCGTTTCAATCAGATTTGGTTCAGTATGGGAGCTATATAATTAGATACAGCGCAGAAACACTGCGAGTTAAAACAACGCATTCCGTGCCATTGACGGCGACGCATGCCAAATATGTATTGCAACTGGGAGGGTTGGCAGCGAGTGAGCATTTGTATGGCACGTGTACATACATTTTGGGGGGGCAGGTGTTCAAGCCAAAAAAAAAAAAAAAAATTGGCCATTCATCACCAAAATTGTTCATATATTCAGATAATACACTCGTACAGTATATGCATATTTCATTTTTGTTGACACAATCAACATAGTTCATAAAAGGGGGGGGCGGGGGTTCAAATGGCAGCTTTCTGTGGGATACAAAAATGAGACCAAGATTAATCATACAACCTTTTTTTTCCACCAACCTGCACAACTCAATTGAAAAACAGTGAGGGGGAAGTAAAAAAGAAATACTTGCGCAAACATGGTTGCACAAGTTTATAGTCCTTATAAATGGGGTTGTGGCCGTGGAGATCACATTCAAATGCATGTTGAAGGAGCTGCCATCATTTTAAGTGCTTCTGATTAACCCCAAATAAATGAAGTAACCAAAAAGAACCCAATCCTATAAAATGACATTCTTACAGTATTTTCAAACATGTAAAAAGACCACTTCTCCCTGACAATAGCTAAACAGTGACTTCTAAATGACATATGCAGTAAAAAGCTCTCGCTTGACTTACTTGCCGGGGTCGGCCCCTTTGAAGAAGGCATTGACTGTCTCAGTGAATGCAGCAGCCACAGGGAGCGTGTCCTGAGCCCCCATGGTGAGAGGGCTCGGCCCTCTGGAGCAGCCTAACATAACACACAAACACACACACATTCTTTGTAGTAACACACAAATATATTCTTACTTCCATCTAATTTTCTATGGTGTAAATGATGTTTTTCATTAGCTTTTGTGCCAAAATGAAAGTTTATATTACACACACACACACACACACACGTGTGAGTGTGTGTGTGTGTGTGTGTGTGTGTGTATATATATATATATATATATGGCATCTATCTATCTATCTATCTATCTATCTATCTAAATGTGTATGTGCAGGATTTTTTAAAATCAAGTTCAAAAAAAGAAAAGAAAACAAACTTGTGGACAAAATAAGGAACAAAATATTAAAGTGCAAGTTAGGAAAAAACATTAAATCAATCATATGGTGTACACATCATATTAACCAATTTCTCTCTGCTCTTTGACTGTGAATGAAATCATTTTAAACATTTGACCATGTTGACGTTAACAAAGAGGTTGGCATAAAGATGTGCAAGCTTTTTTTTTTTTAATTGAAGTGTTTGAATCAGATTCAAAGACCAATAAGTGCAAAGATGAACCCAAAAAGAGAAAACAGCGAAAGGAAACGGTAGAAGACATTTTAAGTATGATGTACAAGGAATGACGATCCTTTGGAGGGAAAGGAAACAACATGATGATGAGCAATGTCAGGAAGGCAAGATGAGAAAAATGAGACCACCGTGAGCATTAGTTCTGGGCTCTGAAGATGTTAGTTTGGTGCTGGCAGGAATAGAAGATGGAAGGATGGAATGATTTTTTTTCTCATGAACAGGAAAAGTAGAGGAGAAGGGAGCAGAGTAGGGGCAGGCCAGGAACCAAGCTTGCACAAATGAGCCTCAAAGAGTGTGTGTGTGAACACCACAATTAGCTCTGTTGCATATAAAACTTACCTTCAAAGGTTAAATAAAACTTCCCTCTGTCAAACCATACAAGGGATGGCTGGTCATTCTCTGTGTGGGGTCAAAGGGGTCAGGTTGAAGAACAGAAGTGGGGATGGGACATCGGGTGGCAGAGGAGGGGGATGAACAGGAAGGAAGGAATTGAAAGAAGTGGGTGAAAGGGGAAGGAGAGAAGGATAGTAGCGTGAGTCTCACATGGCAGGTCTGTCACATCACTGTGAGGTGAAACAAATTGGCGGGTGTGGGGGAGAGAGGACAACGGCAAACCCAGACACAGTCATGATGGAACACAATGAGACGATATGGAAATGAACAATGTTTTTTGTTTTTTTTTTTTGCTGCAAATCTGCTCGGGTGAGTGCCACCGCTAAAGTACAGTGTGGAAACATCTATACTGCTACATTTTATAATCCCACTGTTATTTCTAATCTGAACCACTTGTATTGATTTTCAAACATCATGTGCTTTTTCCAATAGTTCCCGTCCCGTTCTAAACAGTTGGTCCACTCAAAAGGATGGCGTGCAATGTTCACATACTCCCTGCAGGAGGCAGCCATGAGACCACATTGTGCAGGAAAAGCATTGACTGGCTGGAGCAGAATTTTGGAATCTTGACCAGAAAGCAAGCTACTGTATATGTTGAAAATAATTACTTATTGTGTGATGTGTTTACCAACTAGAGGGTTAACACGCCATTGTTATCAGACATTGTGGCTGATCATGACAGACATCGAGAGCTGGAAAGCAGCACCTCATCAAGATAACAAAATGGCAGGTGTTCAGATTTCAAAGGTCTATATTTTTTCTGGAGTGGCAGGTTGGAAAGAAACGGGGGTCAGGGTTCAGGTGATAGCTGGCAATAATAGCAGTCCAGATTGTTTCATTTTATCATGCTCCAAAAGTGATTCCGAGAGGATGGCATGACTACTAAACAGCTGCTCCCTTCCTAATTTGGTGTAATTCTCCTGCTTCAAACCGCTAATAGCCCAACTGCTCTGACAGTGTGAGTGAGTGAGTGAGTGAGTGAGTGAGTGAGAGCGAGAGAGTTGAGAGCAGCAAAAGCAAAAATACACACACACACACACACACACACACACACACACACACACACACACACGCGCGCGCGCGTGCGCGCGCGCACGCACGCAAAGGTATCCTTGAGTGGCTGCACAACACTCAGCGAGCACAAAATACAATGTGTTTCGGTGGAAAAAAAGAGACAAGAGTTTCCATGGTGAAATGGTGAGACAGCCAATAGTGCACAGTCATAAACCAGAGAGAAAAGTCTCAAAGACAAATGGATAAAGAAGCCACCCAATTTTGGCTGAATGGTATGCACGATTGAAGATCAATGAGCCATGACACAAGTGACAAATGGTACATGTGGGCAAAATCTATTTCAATCGCATGTGACAGTGATGGCAAAAGAATGCAGAATTTGTGAAGAAAAAGGGGATGTGGAAAATCAGAGGCTATCACAAAGACTGCAATTGTGCTGAGAGATCTGTGATGACAACAATAAACCAATAAAGAAAAATGATGTAAATGGTACATTAAAAAAGCAGAAAAGGGGCGTAGTCTTCCTGACACTTTTTAGCAAAACCTCAACAGGTCTCGTCAAATATAAAGGCAATGACAGACGTGGTAGTTTTGTGCAAGTGTATTAAAGGGAATTAAAATGCAAATGAATGAGTTGTGGTTAAAAAAAAACACTGGTTGATATACTGGGCTATCTATACTGCACACAACTCAATTGACTTTGTACCTAAAGAGTTTGTTTCACTTTCAACTTTAATTATGTGAATGCTGAGAGGCAGAGATCCAAATGTTATGTGTTTGCCCAATCCACCTTATTCCTGAGTACTCTCATGTGCAAACGATTATGGGAGCAACTTAAGGGAAGAATTTTGAAGCTGTGATGCTCATTGAATCCAAAATATTAGAGCAAATATTGTGGTTGTGGTTGACACAAGTAGGGATGCTAGCATAAATTATGGCAAAGATCGATTGCAGTTTTATGACATCTAGTGATGTGAAGCTTGTTTACACATTTAGTCGTGGCCATGAGGTTAAAATCAAGTGGGAAGTAGGAGGTTTTACTGTGTAGGTATTGATTATGCCTCAGAGCTTTTGAGATTGCTCATTGCCTAACGTCTGAAGCAATAGGGTTCGGAAAGTAGTTAAGCATATGACTGTACCTTGTCGCTGGCTTCTTTTTTTACATCAACCTCCTACCCCGCAATATTAGCAGGAAGCGGGATTTCAAATGTTTTCTCTTCTAAGCTGCAACAACTGTTGTTCCCACGTTGTTAAAGTCTGCTACGCATATAGACTTCTGCATTTCTCATTTCAGGCAGCCTGCTCCACTCTCTCACGTGCGCAACCACAAATGACTGATAAATATTCAGTATGAAGGCAGACTCGGACAGTTGGATTGGTCCACTGTGACGTGTTTGGTAATTTCATTGGTCAGATTTGACGAGACTATGGGTCAAACTTTTGACGGCTTAATACTCGTCAATAAAAAAAATCATAAATAAACTGTGTCACGTTAAAAGCCGCAGGTTTCAAAGTTTTTGGGGAAAAATAGTAGCATCGTATCATCCAGAAATGATGATGCAGCTTCCCATTTAAGCTTGGCAAGAGCATCTCTCAGCATCCACACACAAAATAGAGATTTGTAGTCAGGTTAATGCATCGTTGATTACCAATATGTCTTTACAATTACCCAACCATACAAGGAATGGGCTAAGAACCTATGTCACTGTACCGTTACCTATATACAGTATACAGTATTTGACATTTACAGGCAAAGCAACTGACTGAATTTACTCGATCATGTGCACTGTAGGTGAAGAATATTGAACAAAGCAACTGACCCCCTTACTCCCTGAGGATGTCTCTCCTATAAATGTAAATGAATCGTAGTGCCTCTGAAATGAAGGCAGCTTGTCTATGTAAGCATCGTCTTCTGACAAGCCAAAGGACAAATAAAAATTGGGTAACACAAGAGAGCAAATCAAACCAATATGGCAACACAAAATGTTACAACACAAAAAAAAAAAAAAAACACTTAAATGATAAATCCACTACACTGAAATGGTAAAACACCAGAATACAAACTAAGAATCTTTGACATTCCTGGCTATGTTTCATATTGTCAAGCCCAGTAATTTTTAGATTCCACTGAATAAAACACATTCTAAACAAAAATACCCCCAAAATCTATAGATTGCAATTCACATTCTAAACAGTCTTGATCTAGTTAATGTTAGTTAATGTAATATTTATGATTACCCATGCCTATCTGTGTAAAGCTGAAAAATAACATTTGAAATGAGACCGCCACTCTATTTTAAAAGCCTGATTACTTTCCACTCTTGGGCTGCACTATGCTTACGTTGTAGGGCAAAGTTTAACACTCGCATCTTTAATTCATCATTGGATGGTATGCTACCAATTTAAGTAGTTACACACTTAAAATTAACAACTTCGTGTGTGTGTGTGTGTGTGTGAGAGAGCGTGCGTGTGCGAGTGTGTGTGAATGTGAATGTGAGTGCGAATAGTTGTTTGTCTCTGTGTGTCCTGCGAGTGACTGGCAACCAGTTCAGGGTGTACACCGCCTGCTGCTTGAAGACAGCTGGGATAGGCTTCAGCATGCCCGTGACTCTCGTGAGGATAAGCGGATTAGGTGATGGATGGTTGGATGGATGGATGGATGTATAGATGAACCCATGAAGAGCTTTAGTACAAAACAATGACGTAAAATAAAACATGTCTGAAACTGAGCAACACACATTTTGAATTGTTCAATTTGTGGGTCATCAAATTTAGAGCTTAAAAAAAAAAAAGACAAAGAGACAAGATACAATTTTAGTTTATCTTGACAGTAAAAGCAATTGGCACTGATTTGGTGGATTGCCCCATATCATCTGCATGTAAATATATTTCATAACACACATAAAAATATATGAAACATGTATAACCTACACATCTGTATGCACATTTCTATATTAATTTGAGGCCATCTCTATGCCAGCTGTTTGTTTTTTTTTTCCATGTACTGCCAAAGTATTGGATTGGAACTAGGTATCGGCAGATCCTTAAAACCAAAGACTTGGATTCTGGTGCCAAAAAAGTGCGGGACATCCAGAATTTATATTAATAGTAGGTCAAACAATAGTAATAAGCACACGTCTGATGTTAGTATTTGAATGATCTAATCACATGACTGAATGTCTAAGGTTAGATTTTTAAATGAATACGCTCAGCTCTTAAAGTTCTCAGCCAAGAGATGATGTACAAACCTGACACTGAGAGGTCTTTACTGACTGTGGGAGTCGTGGCAGCACTTAGGGAGTTGGTAGAGGAGATGGAAGAGGTGCTCTCTGCCCGGGCCAAAGGAGCAATTGGAGGGGGGCTAGCTCCATGAACCGGTGGACTAAATGGACGATTCTGAAACAACATGAATATAAAATAAATGTTGAATAGTAAACCAGCCCTTTTCTTTTAAGGTGAATTGCGGTGCTCGGAAAACCCAACACTGAAATGAGTGAACTACCATATTTTTCGGACCGTAAATCAGACTTTTTTTATTCCCAGGGTCTGGCTGGTCTTATAACATACTCGGGTGTGACTTGAATAGAGTGTATTGAAATTAGAGCTCAGATCAGCACCCCAAATCTCTGTTCCCTACCTGTGTTGACTTTCTGTGCATAACCTCCTTTCGAAACACAGGCGGTACTGCACCAAAGACTTCGCCAAGGTCGTCATGCATTACCATCGATGGCCACCTTCTTTAAATGTATCATGCTAAAGAAGGTAATGCACCAAAAGTACATGCCAACTAACAAAACAAAGTAGAAGAAGAAATGGAAGCAGACGACTAAGAACTGTTATCATGGCGACTATTGTGTGACGTAAATCTGTTGCCGCCATTAGCATGTGGTGTCCGCCATTAGCATTTGGCAGAATATCGATCCATATATAATATTATAGTGCAGAAAATACGGTAAGGTTTGACACTGACTGTAAGAATGAATGGAAGGCACATTCTTTTACAGTTTGCATTCAGATAACTTGTCATTCAATATGCAGTTTCTCTAAATGAATTGTGACAGAGGATCAAGGGGTATAACAATACTTCATCCATGTGAAAATGGCAGAAAAGGCACAACCAGGTATCAAAATTTTCCCCTAGAGGTGGGGGTGGCCAAAGAGTTGCAAGGCCACCACGTACTATCGCTTTGCCTCTGGTGCTCCTCTACCATTAATTTCCGTACACAGCCTATCTTATAAAGTAATCAGCACCTTGGGCTTGTACTGTTTCCTTTCCTTGTTCTGCCTGACGCACTGGACTCCAGCACTGCCTTTTTTGGGGCACTCTCAATAACCGAATGGCACATTTGAACAATGCTCAGAGTTAACGAATAATCAGAGGGAAGCAGTGTGTGCTTGGAACGCATTTCCGAATGCACCCATGGTTAGGGAACGTGATCTCAACTTTGCAGATGGAAAATGTGCTTTAGATGCCTCAATTCGCTCATACAACTGTTTTCATCAGTCTGTCCTGAGGTAACACTGGTGGTATCAAATAATATTGGAATCTACTTACAGTATCTCCTACACTTGGTTTTCCTGGTGGAAGTTTGGGTCGTGAAGGCGGGCGGGGTGGAGGGGGAGGTGGAGTGGCATTGATGGTTGAAGGAGCGGTAGGCAAAACTGGAGAGGAGGAACCTTTAAAACATGTTATGTGTTGTACGTGGGGGGGGGGGAAGAAAAGAAAAGAACAACAACACCACTTTTAATTCATTTTCAGTTTTGGAAACATACCAACATCTTCTGACCCTGCTACCTAGCAGACAGCATCTACAAGGCAAATTGTCGGGTATTGAAGGCCCAATCTTCGTCAACTCACCGCTTTTCATACCAGCCGTCCCAGATGTTGGACCTGGAGATGAGACCACCGTCCGGTACGTTGGGGGAGGGGGCGGTGGAGGTGTAGTTCGGTTCCCCTGGCTTGCGTCTTTGGGTGAAGGGGCGATTTCACCTTCATCCTCTTTGGGTCGGGGTTCATCTGTATTCTCTGTCTGGATTGGTGGAAAAGGGAATGTTGCTGTTTCCTTTTCGGGTAAAGTCACTGATGGAGGCGTCACTGATGGAGGCGTGCTTGCTTTGGGAGCTGTTGGGATGCTGGTCGGTGAATCAACCGGTGGACTGGTTGAAGTCGGAAGATATGCTGCAAGCTCCTTGGTTGAAGGGAGTGACGGAGTGGTGGGCGAAAGATTTCGGTCCTTGGGTGTATAAGACCCTGAGGGGACAGAGGGTGGCTCCTCTGACGGTGGTGGGGAACTTGGTAGAGGGGAACTCTGAACTTCTTTTGCAGAAGGTGGTTTTGGGAGATGAGATCCTGTGTCTTCTGCAGGAGGTGGTGATACAGGTAAAGGTGGGGCAGGAGATTCAGGAGGAGGCGGGGAGGCTGATAATGGAGGTGCTGCTTCCTCTGGAGGAGGTGGGGAAAGAGGAAGTGGAGGTGCAAGCTCCTTCGGTAGAGGTGGCTGTTTAGGAGACTGCTCATTGAAGCACACCCACGTGTCACCTGCATCCTCATTTGCAGGAGGAGCCTGCTCTGGTCCAAATAGGTTATCCAAGTCAGCTATGGATGTCTTTCTTGTTGAGTTCTCAGCTTCTGTCGATACATCTGAGACAGACAACCACTCTTTTAATCACAGACTGTTTGAAGAGGTGATTAGTGTGTTGGCACAGGAAGATAAAGCATCCCTGACACAGAAGGAAGCAAGAAGAAACTGGACTCCATCATTAATGACTTAATTATTGACATGACATGACATATTGACATTGAATGACAGGACTTAAATGAGAAAAAAAAGTACCGGCGGTCAGGGGGTATTTAACTGCAAGCATAACTAACACTAAAATATAACTGCCATTGTTATTTAACAATTAATTTGTACTGCAGTTTCACAAAAAGTAGTCAAACATGATTATTTCTTGACAAAGTCATAGGAATTTACTTCCTTGAAAAAAAGTTGAATTAGTTGAATGTAACGCTTTATACAGTATATTCTGACTGTTGAATGAAGTCCAGCTTGCTGTCAACTTTAGATGAATAAAGCTGAATTCAAACCTGAATTCCTCATTCCTGTTTAAAAAGGCAAATGTTAACACTTTACTGAGGAAAAAAAAAACAATTCATACTGACTCGCTCCCTGTATATGCTTCCCGGGTATGTTCTCTTGTTACTGACAAGATAAATACATTTGCTCAGCACTGTACACAGAGAATACGACTAAAGGGGAAAAAAAATATCCTGATGTAATGGTGAGAGTTAAATACTAAAGTGTGTTACCAGTGTCATCTCTAGAGGCAGAGTCAGTTGTCAGTGGAGACGCTGGAACATTCTTGGGTGGAAGTGGTGGTGGAGCTGCAGATATTGTCAGTGAAACAATTAACACAGACTCCGAATATCAAATAAAAAAAAAAAACTGCATCGTGTCAGTTTGAAGGTGAGGATGTGATCTGATTTCCTGATGTTAAAGTTTCCCCAAAAATGAAGATTAAATGACACCCACAATAAATTAGGCAATGTCCACTTCATGAAAAAGAAGGAAAGAAAAGAAAATCATTCATTTTTTGGGTTAACACCGGAACTTTCATTTAGATTTAGGCTGTCACCATTTTGTGTAGCCTCTCAAGACATCATTTTACTGTGTTCATGAATTTGCTCAATGTGTTCATTTTGTAAAATGTATAATTAAACCCAGCCACAACAAAGTTGGGATGCTGTGTAAAATGTAAATAAAAACAGAATACACTGATTTGTAAGTCTGTTTTCAATACATATTCAATTGAATATTTAACAAAGACCATGATTTCCAAAGATAATTTAAAACGTGGAACCAAAACATCAGACCACAGCACATTTTTCCTCAGTCCATCTCAGATGAGCTTGGACCCAGAGAAGTCAGGGGCATTTTTTTGGAGTTGCTGAAATTTGATTTCTATTGTAGCTTTAAATTGCATTTATGGATGTAGCGACAAACTGAGTTAATTGCTGTCTGAGCGATCGAAGGCCAAGGGCATTCAATGTTAGTTTTCGGCTTTGCTGCTTTTGTAGAGAGATTTCTCCAGATTCTAAATAAATAAACATTTTTGAATTAATAATATCCTTATATGTGTGGACATCACCTAAAGAACAACAACAACAACAAAAGGCCCAGGAAACATTAACCACGTAACATATAGCACATCCATTAACCACCACGCTCAAGCATAAGGAAGACAACGGGAAAGGTGGGTCCTCCACCTTTCCATAGCACTGCACATGAAAGAAAACAATTCCAACCAACAATGAGTCATTTTGTGATCAAATGAAAAGGTTGACATCTAGTGAGTGTTATGGCCGTACATAGTATTCTTGTTTTAAGATGAGGGGGGCTTGTGAGATGACTTTACGGATGTGTGTACAGTCACCAGGGAAATGAAGAGGCATGGCAAATTAGCAGAAAATTCTAAACTTACTTCCTGTGGGGAAGGCTCTTTTCAAAGAGGACTCAGGCTCTGACACAGAAGCCCCCCACACATCAGACTCAGACAGAACCGCTTGGTTCAGGAAGGAGGCAGAACACCAAAACATGAGAGTTAAAGGCTCTCAGATAAAAAATACAGATACATTATGTGCACAAACAGAACTACAAATGGAATGACAATTCAATGTTTTCTAGCATTGTTTCTAGTTTTGATGCAAAAAAGTTCATCCGAGACAATAAGGGTGCAAAACATGCAGTTGTAGTTGACACCAGCAGAGCACTGTTCCACACATAAGTCCGATTCATTTCAAGAATAAATCCTTGAAATGTGGGAGTTATGCAACAGTTGAGAACTCTTCTGCATCGATAAATCCAGCAGGATTGAATACGAGCAGCTGACAACAGTCTCTGCATATAAACAAGCTACACGGTGCAAATAACAAAGCCCCTGAGTGCCACTTTAAATTGGGACCACAGCAAAGACATCGTGACATTGGGAAGAAGGACATTTGAATATCGGTGTGATCAGGGAGGAAATTTAAGAGAACGGAAGATTAAGAGAACAGGATTTGCCTGAGATAGAGTTTATGCTGCATGCACTGTATTATATTTTTTGGGAAAAAAAAATAGGAACAAATTTGCACATGCACACATACTTGAGTCTGTAAAAATTGCATGGCTACATAACAGTCAAGTGAAATATAAATTAAACAGGAGGAAAAAGATGAAACTACCTTCTATTTTCTGGTCTCCAAAAGCCGTTTCCAAAGGAGGCCCAAACAAATTTGTCGTGATTTCAGAGGCTGGTGTCTGCTGGCTGCTGCGAGAAAAAAACAAAAACATCCACACTGTGTGTCATTTTGTCATTTAGGACATATATATTGCAACTGACAATGATTACACAGTGCTTCCAATATCAGCTGTGCCATGATTAACAATGCATTTTGTATCAAAGATACTAGAACTATATCTTTTTAATGCTCAAACACAGTCGCGATAACGGACAATATCTGCCTGTGTTGCACACCTGCACAGTATAATATACTGCAGTATACTAGGCAGGGGCAGGTGGCCCTCCGGGGAAAGTGGGGTTTTCCCCGGTGGGCCACGGCCGGTCCGGTGGTCCGATACAAGAAAAAAGAAGCATCAGAAAAACAATTGGGAAAGAAGTGTGGCACTATGCCCAACACATCTCCTTCAGATCTATGAGGACCACGATCTGTCTCCTCAATTTTCACCACATAAAACAAAAAATAAAATTCTCTGGTAAAACCGAGGCCATTGAGGCGCCAACTACTGGTGAGTTAGGTACACAAGAATGTTGGAATTTGTACTTCTGAGACACATTTTAATCACCCCACTTCCTGAAGTCTTCCAACTCAAGGATGCAGACCGACACAGAATTAATCCTTTCTGCTACTCACACTCATTAAACAGCTAGTTAGTAGCTACACGTTTTACTGCACGTTTGTAAGGCTGGGAAGTGCTGGGATAATGTAACTCTGGCATTACAGTGCTGTGACCTCTAAATTACGACTCTTGGTGGAATTTAAACACACTATAACGGCAGACACGAATCTCTCACTCAATGTGAAAAAATAAAATGAAACAATTTCATTAATCTGATTCTTTACTTTCTCAGTTTAGTTGAGCTCAGCTGCGAGCCACAAGAAACACTGTCACCTCCATCAGCGTCGGGGGGTGCGCCACCGCACAGAGGCGCCATTGACAAGGTGGTGCGCTCCGTGGCAGAATGGCTGGGCCAGAAAGGTCGGGGAGGAGAGTGACGCAGGCGCCCCCGCTAATTACAACAACTGCACTCAATGTAATGGGCAATTCTTAACGGTTTATTTTTAATCGTTTCTACGCCAGTCCTAAAAAGTATGTCTTTACATGAAACCGGTCCATGATGCAAAAAAGGTTTGGGACCGATGCTGAAAACAGCTACAAGGTCATGAGCCACTTGTGAGAGAACCGAGATGTACATACCTGGGAGCTTGTGGTGCAAGAACAGGTGTGGGGGCCACAGTGGGAACAACACGTCTTGGTCTGACAATCTCCTCACCTTGACACATTTGTGCAGGATACACATGAAGTCTTTCATTGTATTCTATCAGTTTTGTAAAAGTGAGCTGAACGGGAAGTTGAAAGAAACTGATACTTACTGGAGGTGTTCCTTTTCAACCCCTAAAAACAACACGAAAATTAAATAATGAAATATTACATAGTCATGTTCATTTCGTTAACGAAAACTAAATGAAACATTTTCAAACGGCCATTAATAAACAATTACCTGGGACTAAATCAGGATACACATTCTTAGACTAATTAAGACGAGGCGAAAACATAGTTCATTAAATAAAGACTGGGCTAACATGTTTGGCCATTTTATCTCACAAACAAAAATGAGACGGAAATGTTATGATTTTGTCAAATCCTGACTCCTCCTCCTAATCCGTCGTTAACACACAGTGACACACCCCTTTTCAAATTTGCAGGGCATGCGAGCGAGCATTGCGTGCACAGCACAGGCACGTGGGAAAGCCGGGAGGTGGATTCACGGTGAAAGGTGAAAAGTGCGGCTGCCACAATTGGTTGGGGAATGCAGTGTCATGCATTGGCCCATGTTCGCAAAAGAGTTCGAAGGTTTGGGTGCATTTCACCAAAAATACGATACAAACCTCCCATTCAAGTCAGTTCAGCGGTGATAAACGAGCATCTAAAAAGGAAGCTCATTGCGGATGATGCCTGATTTCATTTGTGATACGGTGACAATCGTGTGTGGACGCTAGCCTTAGCACACACAGGCTAACGTGTTTGTTGGATTTAACGCGATGTCCTGTTGCACGCCAAGATTCTGCAGGGTCTACTATGGATTAAGGAGGCATTAGTTAATGCAGACAAATAATCTAGGAGCTGCAAGCAAACTATAGTTAACAACAATTACCCGGGCAGCTACACATGCATGCAAACTAAAAACTAAAACAAACTAAATCAATGTATCTAGGGCAGTGGTTCTTAACCTGGGTTCGATCGAACCCCAGGGGTTCGGTGAATCAGTCTCAGGGGTTCGACGGAGCCTTTGCCTTGGAGGTTAAGATGCACCCGACTCAACATGTCAATTAGTTATGACTCGCCCGCAGCATATGATCACATTACATTGCTTGTCCAATCAGTGCTGTGAGAAATTTAGTTCGCTCAGTCGTCAACGAGTGACTGTCATGATAGTACATCGTGATTTTTTTTTTTAAGATTTTTTTTAATACATGCTATGTCGAGAAAAAAAAATAACGAAAAAAAAAACAGTCGGACGAATATTTACAACATGGATTCACATGCATCACGGAAAGTGATGGGAGTCAGTGTCTTAGCTGCATGATTTGTCATGCCAAGTTGAGCAACTCAAAACTGAAGGAACACTTTCCATTCATTCATTCATTTTTCCGATCCGCTTATCCTGACAATGGTCGCTGGAGCCTATCCCAGCTGTCTTCGGGCAGTAGGCAGGGGACACCCTGAACCGGTTGCCAGCCAATCGCAGGGCACACAGAGACGAACAACCATCCGTGCTCACACTCACACTCAGGGACAATTTTGAGTGTTCAATCAGCCTGCCATGCATGTTTTTGGAATGTGGGAGGAAACCGGAGTTCCCGGAAAAAACCCACACAGGCCCGGGGAGAACATGCAAACTCACAGGGAGGCTGGAGCTGGAATTGAACCCGGTACCTCAGCACAGTGAGGTTGACGCGCTAACCACTGAACCACCGGGCCACCCTGAAGGAACACTTCTTGAACCATATTTTTATTTTTCACTAATGAAGGGTTCGTTGAATGTGCATATGAACTGGTTGGGTTCAGTACCTTGAACAAGGTTAAGAACCACTAATCTAGATAAAATAAAATAATATGCCACACGTGATTTCAAAACAATTTTAACCTACATTTTCACACATGAAATAGCCTAAATGGGGTATAAAAGTAAAGTAGGTAAAATTGTCTTGGTCTTGAATGTCTGGGGTTGCCAGAGTTTTGTGGTATCAAATTGGGGTGCCAAGCGAAAAAACGTTGGGAACCACTGCTCAAGGAATTTACATCCCAATGTATTTATGATATAATTGCTTGCCTTCACCACCACATCACAATGACATTTGATTTGAATAGCATGTCAAAGGGTAAAATGATTGTCCTGTCTCAAACTAGACAAAAATGTTGACAGATTTTGAATATAATTGTTTTCTTGGACTACCGATAATATAAAGATTTAAATGCTCAATACATAGTTGACTAAAAGTTGGGGGGGGGGGGGGAGAATCACAAAGCAGAATTCATTGAGTGTAAAAATGTGTTGGACTTAAGTGATCAAGTATTTATCTAACCTAACTAAACTATACCGATCCCTGAACCAATTATAGCACGCAATCAAACAATGGAATGTAATAGTTTATCATAAAAGAAATAATGATATTAATTGCATACTGGAAGCCTTTCAATGCTAGCTTTGAGAAAAACGACGACTGAGAAGACAAGGTTTGAAATGATGGATAAAGAAAACACAGTATTTTGTTAGAGAGGCGACAGGGAAAGGGTATTACTGCTGTGCTCTTAAACAGTCACTTATGCAATGTGCATGCATGTGTGAAGTCTCCATGGGCACACCAAGGGGGGCAGAGAGAGCACAAGAGGAAAAAGAGTGAGAGGGAAAAGCCTGGGAGCAAACCAGAGGATGTGAGAAGTCCACGATGGGCGGTGACTGAGGTAAAACTTCAAAGAGCGCAGCTGTCGGAATTTCAATGTTTTTTCCCAGTACTGGGAGCAAGCATGAAGCTGTTCATAGTGGAAAACAAGAACACATGCACTGACAGAATCTATATTTACAGCATAAGTATTCTGTGTACATTCTTCTTAATCATTGTACACCTTTTATCCATATGTTCTATAATGACAATGAGCGGTTCAATGCATCACTTCAGCCACTGATCCCATCCGTGTACATTCTCTTGTGATTGTTAGGCACGTGGAGCCATGTGACGTACTGTGTTTATAGCTTGACCAAGGAGCGATGGAGGCAAAGGACACTTACCGGGCTACGTCTCTGTGACCAGCAAAAAGGAAGAGAGAAGAGATACCTGGTCAGAGAGTAACAAATCAGTAACACGGACATCAGGTAAATCAGAGGAAGACAGCTGCAGCAATTTGGTAAGGCAGGTCACATGTGGGGATGAGTATGACAGGGCAAGAAATAAGATCTTAGCCTCAACTCTCCAGGACTTCTATTATTATTATTATTATTATTTATTTATTTTTAAGTTCAGCATTATGCAAGCAGTCGAAAAAGGATGGAGCATATATCAAACACCTCAATTGGTTCAAATAAATAAATATATAAGAGGCTAAGTGTCGCTTTATCCACACTGATTTTTATATTTTTGTGCGCACTTACCCCCATGAATACTTCAAAAACTGGAAAAATATTTCAAGAGTGTTGACGAGGTGAAAGAATAGCGACAGGAATTTGCAAAGCTTTCTCCTCTATTTTAATATTCTCATCTCATAAAAGCCTATTTAGACCCAACACTATTTTTGCCATCTGTTTTCCCTCGATGATGCTCGCTATTGTCTTTATCTCTTTAATTTACATTGAAATCTCACCCGTCTTCATGTGTCACGCCACGCTCACATTCACCATTTTTTTTCCCCTCTTGTGTGTGTTCCACTTGTGCAGTGAGCCATGAGTGATTACAGTGATGCAACAGGGGGAGGGGCATGATGGAAATGATGAATTCCATTGGATGCTGTGACGCAGCGCAACTCCATTTCTCACAACCCATCATTGTCATTCTCACAATGTCAACAGTAAATGCTGACACTCTGACCTGCAAGCTCCACTGGGTAACTGAGGTTGGATGACTTATCCATTGATTTCTTTGGCCCGGCTTCTCCTAGTGGCCCGGAAGTAATGCTTTGCAGCCCAATTTAAGATAAGATAAGAAAACATTTATTTGGCTCACAATGGAGGAATTCACAATTTATGGCAGCAAAATTTTGAAGGGAAGAAAGTGGAAAAACAAAGTATTTGCATGCACAAAGTAAATAAATAAATAAAAAGCTGAAATTGAATTTATTGAAATTGTAGCTGAATGTTGAATGGCAATGGGCACACCTCAGGGATATTTCTGCCATTTCCACATGGATGATACTTCGACCCCATGATATGCTGCCACATTTTTTTAATATTAATTGCATATTTAAAGAATAAATGAACAATAGATTTGAATGCAAACTCTGAAAAAATCTGTCTCAAGGACATTCAATTTTTACGGCCAACGTCAATCAAAACCATTACTTTCACACCATAGCAAGAAAACAACATGAGAAGTCAAATATCATGTACCCATATTCCAATATTGCACACACAATCACAATACAGTCAGGAACAAATCTAAGTGAAAAGCAACATTTAATATTATGAAAGTTTCAGAGGTTTTTGTATCATTGTAATTTTTAGATATGGTTTAAAGCAACAGCAAATAAAATGGCATCTAGTTCAATGTAAATTAAGATGAACAAAACGCTTTTTACTTCACAGTTGTTCCTGCTTGATTATAAATGTGATGGGCATTGTTGCGGAAATGTGTGAATTTTATTCCATGAAACCCTGACTGTGGATAATATGATCAAGGATGGTGCACACACGCATACATAAATGACCACCCCTCACTAAAGTGTTGTGTCACTCTGGCACCCCACTGAAAAATGATTGGCTACGTCCTTGCCACAGATATCCTTCGATGATTAATAAAGGTAACCTGAGATTAACATCCAAGAGCTCGATCCAAAATTTAGCAACAATCGTTTACTTTGACAGACACTGACAAAAAAAAACATTCAACACTATGGTTCTAGTGGTTTCATGGTGGTGTTGATCGTCATTATCAGCGTAACCCCCCCACTCCGGCCATCTTGTTTACCTTATTAGTTACATGAAATCAACTACCGATAATAATTGAGTATTATGACCTTGTTAAGCCAAATTGTATTTGTATTTTATTGAACCTGATTAGATCGCACTTAAACCTTGGCAGTGCCCACGTAAACTCTATGTCAGAGGTGCCCAACCTTTTTTGAACCAAGATCTACTTTTCAAGCAGACAACCTCCCACAATATCCCATTTTTTTTGTCGAGGTGTTGGTGGCGTGGGGTGGAATGCTGGTGGTGCATCCACGACTGGCGGTGGATGCATTTTTTTTTTTGTCGAGGTGTTGGTGGCATGGGGTGGAATGCTGGTGGTGCATCCACGATTGGCGGTGGATGTGTGGATCCGGTGAGTGCTGTTTTACTTTTGCAGTGTCCAGCCAACTACCGAATTGAAATCTGCGGCCCCACCATGTCTTTGGTTTGGGAGTGCAAAGTGCAGGCCAGTGAGCTAAAGTTCAGTTCAGAACTGTACTTGAACGGACATGAAGTGATTTTTAATTTTTTTTTTTTTTTTAAACATACAAAGTTGACCTGCTTTCTAATTTTAAAAATAAATAAATAAATACAACTTTGTGGACATGAGAGTGACAGAATGTGCAAACTGTAGTGTATGCTAACAAAATATAAATTAATAACAATAATAATAATAATACACATACACATACACACAAAAACATAAACATTTTTTCCCTCCCCCTGCACCCCTCATGGTGGACTTGGGAGCACTCCGCGTTCTAGCAGTCGACCGCCATCGATTGGTTGGGTTCTCCTTCTCTATGTGCTTTCTTTGTACATGGAAATATGCTGCTTTAAAAGACGTAAATGTAGCAAAACTTGAGCTGAAGGTATAGCTTACTTTAGCTCCTCATGCCACTACAGGTGCCTCCTGCACAAATGCACACAATGACTGTCAACATAAAAAGCCTTTCACACCTGATCTGTTCAACATAGCGGCAGTCATATTGGTTGAACACAGAGGCCCACATGAATTATTGAGATCCAGAGCTCATGTGACTATTGGCAACCTAAAACAGCTGAATGACACACACGTTCTGTGTGCCCACTTTCCTAACTGAATTATTCAGGGTGGCTACCCAAGCTACCCCTTACTGCTTTAGAGTGGTAGGACACTCGTGTCCCAACTCCTACTCTTAATTTTGGCTCTCATCAACTAAGCAAATACTTTTTGCATGGTGCTGTTTTAGCAGCGTGTTATCACCAGATGGGTGTTGGTGTGGCGGAAATGCTTTGTGTGACAGATGCTACATAAACGGGAGAGTGGTGAGGTCACTGGGATCTCTACCAATGTTGTGTGAACGTCACATCTAAATTAAGACTACAATATTGAGAAGAAAGGAAGTGTTCTAAACTTATTTCGGGGCACGGGATTTGCATTTTAGTCAAGGATTAAAACTGAGAAGGTAAATGTCCTGGATCTGCTCAATTAAGGTTTAAGTTGTGCTACAGGTTTTGTGTCAGATTGTAGCCTATTTGTGGTTGAATTACTGTATTTTTCGAACTATAAGGCACACCGATAAGCATTGAATTTTCTCAAAAGCCGATAGTGCGCCATATAATCCGATGCACTTTATCTATGGATCAGTATTCTGATTTCTTGGACATAGTATTTTAAATGTTTTGTAAAGCGCTTTGTTATAGCTGCAGCGGTTGTTAAAGCTCCATAGAAATAAAGCTGTATTGCATTGTATTGTGTTTCCTTTACCGTACATCTAGTGGATGCAAAACGCAACTGCAACCACTACTGTAGCTTCTATTCTATGCGCCTTATAATGCGGTGCGCCTTATATATGAAAGGAGTTTTGAAATAGGCCATTCATTGAAGATTCGCCTTACAATTCTAAACTTATAGTGCGGAAATATGGTAATAATATAGCCAGTTTCTAGGAGTATTATTTACCTCACTGGCAATGGCAATTTGAGCACTTTTTACTTTGACAATTAATTACTGAGTTATTAATAAATGTGATATATAGCAATCAGAATCAGAATCAGAATCAAATTTATTGGCTAAGTATGTAAAACACACAGGGAATTTACTTTCCCCAGTTACAACACGCCCAAGGGAACATCAACAGAACGGGAAGCCTGGCGGTGTTCTTTAGTTGCATTGACATTGAATAACTTGATACCTGTGCAGCTCTTTCCTAATTAAATATATCTAACAACATAAAATTGATCTGCAAAAGGTTTCTGGTTGGAACATACTTGTGCCAAATCGAACGTATAATAATTGGTACTTTCAAAATCTACCCGCTCAGAGCACTCAAATTTATTCACAATGAAGGATTTACAGTATTTGGCCTTCATTGAACTGTAAATAGTTACAAGTGAATCCACATCTTGAAGAATAAAACAAATGATGCCTCACCATATGCACTAAATTAAGGTAGAAGTACATTATATTGTGTCTTATGTGTCCAAAGGTTCTTGGGCTTAAACTGTGCAGCCACTAGAGTTACAGAAGGCCGGGTTTTCTGTGGAGGAAAAAGAATACTGTACAGGTCATTTTAAAGTCATGGTGTCTTCACAATTAGAAAAGGAACGGGATGTCTAAAAATGCCACACTCTTGCCTATTATTGTTTGCCTTTGCTAGTATTTACAGATTTACAATTTGCATGGTTTACATGAGCAGGTGTCTTGCATTTGGCAAATCGTGTGACATTTTTTTGCGAGAGATTTTGGCCTCTTAGCCTTCGTATTTAGTTTTTTAAGCTGCTCAAGAGGCTGTCTACAAATAAAAAAGTCACCAGCTTATCTAGGAGAAATAATGCGTTGTCACTGGGGAATTTGTTCTCTGCTGTGAGGGCGGAGTAACAGAGGGAAACAGTTTTGTGTTCATGCGTGGAAGGGGGAGGGGCAATTTAATATTTTCAGCACGCATGAGAACCTGCGCACCACTTACGAGCACCCTTGTCTATAGTTCTTATAGTTATCTATAAATATTTTTTTAGTCATTGTTTGCATTAGAGATGGACAACTTCAATAATCGCAACCTCTCTAAAATGTAAAACCAAAATAAACACCAACTATGTATCATTATTATTTACACACACTCACATCCACACAATGCTAACCTGTCTGATCAATCAACTTTTGCCACACGGCTGACACACATTGACGCCACCCCACAGAGGGGACAACTCCCTCCCACATTACTGACCAGCAATGGGGTGGCAACTGAAAACCTTATCGATCATTGCACCACGATCTACGATTGGATTACTACTGTCTGATTTGAATTGTTACAAGTTGGACCTCATTCAAATGCCATTTCTTGCCCCGCGGGCCACATTGAGAAAGTGTCTGGGATGCATACGGCCCACCAGTTGCTCGTGCCTAGCACAACAGAGCAGCATTAAAGTGGGTGAAAATGTGAATAACAGGAGTAATGCTCATTACGAGGGCTGGTACACTGTTTATGAGAATCAAAAATGTTGGCCAAGTTACTCACCATAGGCGAAGGGGATAGAGCAATGTTGCCTATGGAGGCTTTGAGCTCTTCAACCGAGGGCACTGCCACAACTTGATCAGCTGGGAGGGGCTTAATTTTAATTTTGAACTTTTTCCTGTGGTCTTCCTCTTCTTCCGACTCATCAGAAGAGAAGAAATGGGACTTGGGGATATGTGGGAGAGAAGTGTCAAGGAAAAGTGTTCAAATCTTCAAATATTGTATCTGTTCAACGATCAAAAACCGAAAATCAATATGGTCTTTTTAGTTCGCCAGTTTGAGATCTGCATCCCTCATGGAATTTGCGATCTTCATGATGTATTTTTGAATGAAAAGTAAAGTGGTGTAATTAGTAGAGAGTAGATCAATTTTCTGGTCTGCTTGACAAAAAAAGTGTATAATACAAATTCCAGTGCAGAATGTGATCACCTTTGTGAAATGTTAGAGCAGCAGACTCACAATTATTTTGGTATGCATTGCTAAAGGCAATGGGGCATGTGCATGGAATTAGTACGGGTACTGTGATGCGCATATGTGTGGAAAACATTGCACTCGTCCCAAAGCTATTTCATGAACAAATAGACACCTGCAAACTGCATGGACAAAACAGGTGGGTGAATGTTATTCATTCACAAAGAAAAAGCATTGTTTGAGGATATTTGCCTGGTCTGCCTCATCTTCAGGTCTGATGCTATAACCCTCTTCATCTACCTCAGGAGAATTCTGAAACACAATGAATCAATGGAAAGCCCCATTACTGGGAAATATAAATTATATCGTTGGCATTTCTGAGTACTTTTAAATTAATCTGGCTGTACATTAGGTTCCCACGTGTCAAATTTGCTAAACGGGGTTCTTACATATCTTTCCCAGTCAATTTCTCCGTAGAATCCATTTGTGGCTCCATTGGTCCTCCTCTGAGACTGAGAAGAGAAGAAAAAAATCACAGGCCTCATCAGACAATGAAGCTACAAGTAGGTAATCATTCCTCACGAGTGATATTTGACAAGTGCTTACATTGCCTCAGCAATATTTAGGGGAAAACTAATTGTTTCTATTTTGTATTGCTACAATGAATATCAACCATATCGCAGTGAGATTTCAAATTTTGGACTAACAACAGCATTAGCAATAGCAACAATAATGTGTTATTTGCTACCGCAGAGTTTTTTTAATGGCGAAGATATTCAAAACTAAAGCCTGAATGTCACTGAGAGACGAAGCTTTGTGAGTGTGGATGATGGATTTTCTTCAGGGTTCATTCAAGGTTGCAAAAGCTGGCCAAGACATTCGACAGACACTGGCAAAGAGTTTTTGTTGTCACCATCAAATTTTGGACATGTTCAAAATTTCTTCGGGACAAGAAAAACAGTTTATGAAATCATCTTTGCAAACTTTTGCTACCTTGAACGAAACCTGACGAAAAAAAGAACACTCGCTCTTGCGCAAACACTTATAAAGCATCGCCACTCGGTGAGATATGGTCTTTAAAGATCCATGCAGTATTCTGGTCTACTCTACAGGCTCGTCTACTTTGAGAACTACAACTTCACTGAATTCAGTACCGATTCAACCTCTTCAGGATCCTGGCAAGTAAAAAGGACAAAACAAAAAAATTGAATGCATGTATTTTAATGCCAACTCAAGTAACTACTATATACCAACACTAAAATTCATAAAGTTTCTCAAAACAAACTAACCAAATAAAAAAGCTACAGTTTTACGGCATCATGTCAGAACCGCAATTTCTAAATAAAATCATTGATGGATGTACTTTCATGTGTACTAAATGTAAGTGTACTTACACCCCCCTCTCTGTCTGGGGACCCCCTATATGAAATGAAAGATGAGAGGAGAAAGACAATTTAGTTTGTCTCAAACATACTTTAAAGGACATAGTAACACAAAAGCAAAGTCACAGAACCTATTAAGACAAACTTTTTCCTGTGTCATTTGAAAGAAAAAAAAATTGAATCTATTTTGTAAGGAAACTAACATTACTGATATTGTCATTGGCCCTACATGTCTTTTGTGGACACACAATACACTACTACACTACATACATACTTCAACTAATATTATCTGGTTTGGGATCACAAAGTACAACCTGAAACGAAGATGACAACTTACGTTGAGTCATTGTCTTTCTCTTTCTTCCGTATCCCAAAGGCCTTCCTGGTACGTTTTTTCAATCCTGGGAAGGAAGAAGAAGCATTGGGTGGAGTAAATGTATGCTAAGACTGACGTTTAATGATTGGTACTATTGACAGTTTGCACTCCATTGAAGGCAAACACATTCTCAGAACTACTTATAGCATGTGTTCATGGTCAGAGTTCTGGTTTCACATCCTTGCGATCCTCAAGGTTGTTGTAATTAAAAAATCAATTAGTATTAGAAGAATCAATGCAATAAAGAGTTTTATTTAGATGGCTTAAGAAAGTGGAATAAATTATGGAAGATGAAAATTAGACTGTTTCAACTCGGTTATTAAATAGAGCCAACTTCAAAAGTCACCACATTGTTGTTTTAGCAAAATGTGAATACAAATCCAATGGATCTCACACTTTAAAAACCCCACACAACAAATAAAGACACCTTGGCAAACAACACACGAGGACCCCTCGACAACTGAGATGAGGTATGGTGGGAGAGACAGAGAGAGAGAGAGGGGCAATTTATGACCTAGCACCTGAGCTGCACACACACACACACACACACACACACACACACACACACACACACACACACACACACACACACACACACACACACTAGTTATGTTCATAGGTGATCGAAAGAAAAGTCTGAGTCAAGTCACAGCTCTAAGTCGAGTTGCCAGTCTCAAAAAATAGCGACGAGTCCAAGTCCAAGCTTGAACAACCCTGATGAAAAAAAACAACATTGCAACGTGCGCACACACTTCGCTGCTCAGTGAGATATGGCCTGAAGTTAGTATCAGATTTCAACAATAATGCAAACAAATCTGTGGCTTTATCACTTTAACTTTCTATGAAACAATGATATGGATTACACTTCTGAATGTATCTTGATATATTTAATTAAAAAAAATAAAACAGAAATGTGTGTGTGTGTGTGTGTGTCTATATATATATATATATATAGCACCACATATCTAAAGACTGTCCCTCAGCACGGAACAATCACAATCCAAAAAAAACCCCACAATTCTCGTGTTATTTCATTGCATTATGTTTGCCAATTGTCCTCTGTTCCATTTTAATCAAACAAAATTCGTGGACGACAAAATAATATTCTGTCACTTTTTTTTTTTTTTAACTTAAATCTCAATATATTTTGAGTTTATCCTCCATGATTGTTAAGATGCGTTGGCATCTCAAATACCCCAGGCACACTCTCACCCCAGACGAAAGCCCAGTTGTCGCCCTCCCTCTTTTTGCCACTTTGACTCTCATTCTTCTTCATCCTCAACTAACAATGACCTAACATCAGCTGACCAACCGATCCCACCTCACGCATTCTCTCAACTCCACATATGCATGTACACTGTGAACTGCATGGAAGGAACCTAATGCTACCCCACACCAATCAAGTACTGCAGCACACACCCAGACATATACACCAAGTAACACAATGCCAACATCCTGTTCTTGATCTGTCTTGCACTCAAGTTCACCACCAGTTAATCCGTGCATGTAACAAAGACTTATCACAAATTAGTCAAGGTGATATTGCATTTGTACCTATAGACAAATAAACAACACTTTTATTGCGCATAGTTTTAGAGCCGAAATGGGTTGAGATAAGATATATAGCGATAGAAGGATGCCTGAAAGAGAGCCGCTAGGTCGGAGACAAATATGACCAAAGAGGAGATTTATGAAATGGGGTGAGGAAAGACTTGTAGATAGCTTGAGCTAAAGTAGAAGATGCAAAGGGTCGGAAGAAATGGAAGACAATGATTCACTGTGACCGATTTTGCGGGAAAGACTTTAGCTGAAGAATATTGGCGGTTAACAAAATCAATCAAACAATACTCTTGATTTTCAGGAACAACTTAATCTCAACAGTAAGCATCATAAAGCATCTTAAATTCTCATAAAACATATATTTCAGTTTCTGATATTTCTATATGCAAACAACATACGTAGAGATAGAGTGAACGGAATTGCAAGGGGCAGAGCTAAATCTCACTGCACAAAAGTTAATTTGAACTAATGTGGTAAATCAATGCTGTGCAATTTAACAGAGAGTAATGTACACATTGTAGAATGACATAATAACTTCCGCTCAGAAGGATGCAGGCAAAAGTGCTAATGTAATTTTGTCGTTTCCTATTGAGAAGCAGTAATTTGGTTTTCAAAAACAGAAGATGAATTAAGGCAGATGTCGAACTACATTTCAAAACTTAAATATACATTTTATGGTGTTACAATTGGGTAATTACATTGTTGTCTCCACGGTAGTGGTGTGGCATTCTGCGGCTGAATGCAATATTGCAGTAATCATGAAAAAACGGATTTATTATTATTACATGTATTTGAATAAAATTGCATGTGGCAAATATAAGGGGAACTCCCTGTATACAGATCTTAAATTATCTTATGACAATGTGGAATAATTGTTTGATCAGTGATTCTTCTGAGGCAATGGTTCTTTTTCAGCAAGTACCACAGGAAAAATGTCGCTCTACAAGTCCCACCATGAGGACCAACATCAACATACAATATCATAGTTGGGCCTAAGTGTTCTTAAAAACGAGGTAGAGGTTTTTTTTTCCCCGAAACACACGCTTGTATTTATTATTGTAAGCCACTGAAACATAATGCACAGTTCAAATTGTGCATGAATATGAGAGAATAAACATTTATAAAAGTAATGATTACACTCAAATGTATTGAAAATCATGAATGAAAATCATACCCAAAAACGTTTAAAAAACAGTTCCAAAATGTTATAGAACCTTATGAGATGTGCGTGAATGTGCGCGTGTTTTAAATACATTAAATAGGTTGGCAGATACTTTAGAATGGCTGGCAACCAGTCAGGGGTATACCCTGCCAAGTGCCCGAAGCCAACTGGCATTGGCTCCAGCATGCCCGCAGCTCTCATCAAGACAAGCCGTTCGAAAAATGTATGGATGGATGGATGTTGGAAGATATGTTTTTAAAAAGTGCAAAGACTGAGATCAATTTAATACTGAATTGTTGAGATACAGAGTAAAACTTCCATTTTTCTGAACCGCTTTATCCTCACAATATGTGTTTACACAATGCGTGCTTGAGCCTATCCCAGCTGTCTACGGGCAGTAGGCGGGATACACCCTGAACTGGTCTCCAGCCATTCACAGGGCACACAGAGACGAACAACCATCCGCACTCACACTCACACCTCGGGACAATTTTTGAGTGTTCAATCAGCCTGCCACGCATGGTTTTGGAATGTGGGAGGAAACCGGAGTACCCAAAGAAAAAACACGCAGGCAAGGGGAGAACATGCAAACTCCACACTGGAAGGCCGGAGCTGGATCAAACCCGGTACCTCTGCACAGTGAGGTCGACGTGCTAACCACTCGTTCACCGGGCCACCGTTTATCCTCTAATTTGTCTTGATTTTTTGGGGGATGGGAGCTAAAACGGAGGACAAGCTGATGCAACCAAGGAAGAGCATGAGTTGCCCTTACCTGTAAAATAAGTGCCCTTGGTTCATGTGTAGCGATTCGGCGCAATTGCCACTTCTTTATAGAGAACAGTCTTCACCAAGACACACCGAGACGCACTGTGCGCTACTGCGTAAGCGCCGAAAAGTCCATCTCCTCTTGCTGGCTGGTGGCTGCACATGCGGTTGGGTCTTGCTCCCTTAAAACCTGGAAGTGTATTTTTAGCATGTGTGACAGCCTGTTTCAGTGGGTGACATCATTACGCTAGTGTGCATCATGTTCTGCTGTGTTCCAAGTGTGCCATGGAAAATTTCATGTTATTGTTAGCAGCAGATGGGGTGCGGGTGCCAGCAGGTAACCCCTTCCTGGGCTTTTTCTCGATTCCGGCTGTGGGCCTGCGTCCAGCCGCTCTTAATAAAGGCGAGTGGGGTTATATGTAATGTAATGATGGGGTTTTTTCCACACAAATGTTTCAATTTTTTTTTTCAATTCAGTGAAAATGCGAAAAACAAACAATATTTTGCAAAGGAGGGGAGAGGAGACTACGCCATGAGATGACGTCATATGAGCGCATCTCTCTGCCAAAAGACACTCTGCTGACTATCAACCTAATTTGTTTTTTTCTTTTTTTTTTGGCATCCTTATTTAGCATTTGAACGCGATTTTTGAGATGACGTTGTGTTGATATTGGTGGCAACAGTTTGTGACGGCAAGACAAAGTGGCCCCAACAATGACTCAAGACAGCTGCCACGCCACCACATGCTGCCGGGAACACCTTCAAAACAAGAATTTATACTGTACTTCTGCTCCTTGTACATACTACTGCGAATGCTTGGAGCACCACAACTGACAAAGCAAAGATACCAACAGGCTTCTTAGGTCAGGTGAGTGCATGTGTGTGACTGTGTGTGCGCGTGTGTGCAAGTGCAGTATCCTGCTCTCCTCAACAATGCAGAGGCAGAGCTGTATAATTAATAAGGGCACATTCTTGATTTCAATCCTCATGAAACACATCTCGTACGAATAATTAAGGACACTGCATGCTTCTGTGCACGTCCAGTGTAAAAATTGTGGTGAGGAAAAGACGAAGAAACTCTCTTTTTTTTAAACTAAAAATAAGCCCTGGCTGTAATGTCCAGGTGGCTACACTGCAAGCTGTCAACATGCAGGAAGAATGCAGTTAGTGTTGATAGATATGTAAAGAAACATCCGCAGTCTATGCCAGTTTTTTTTTTGTTTTTTTGCAGATGCAATTTTGAGGAGAAAATAGAGCTGTTTCATTGCACATCATCATCCACTGTTAAGGAAAGTGGGCCAGTGCCGGAAACCATCTAACAGCCTCATGACTGTTTCTGTGGAGATGACCAAGAGATATTTGGAAATGCGTGATGCAGCCATCCATGTGCCCTTGCGGTTTTTATTCAAGTCATTGTAGGGAAAGTGAATTAACGAATGAAATCCGTTTTTTTAAAAGAAGTCTAATAACTAATCTATAAACTGTCAGCAAAAATATTAAAGGATCACCAAAATGTACATTTGCTTCTATTGTTTTGT